ATTATCGCACCACCAGAAAACTTCATGATTTTTTTACATCAATCCCATCGTTAATTTGACTAAAAAAAAAATAAAAACGTGCATTTTGGACATATAGGTGTGGAACATCCTGAAAATACCTGAAATTTTTAACGAGTCCGGACATTTCCTGAATATTCGAGTTATTCTCGATTTTTAGTTATCGAAATAGTGGAAATTCAGGCAATAATTTCTGTGAGGTGTCATTTTACACTGTTGGAAAATGACCTGTGAAGTTTCAAGTGAAACTCGAAATTTATAAAAACGAAGAAGTGACATAGAATTAGTTTAGTCAGGGCCTAGTCTCCATACGAGAGTCATCCCCATGGACTAGCCTTCGAACTTGAAGAAGAGCTCCATAAATTTGAAAAATTTTACGATTTGATTTTCTCGATATGAATCGTCCATATGAGCCAGTTTCCGTATGAATATCAAGAACCATTCACATGAGCTAGATCTCGGAATGGAGTTCCATAAATTAAAAAAACACCTGACGCACAAGGAAAAAATAATAATGTCTGACCCTCGAGATTGGTTTGCGTTTTGCATCACAATTTCCCTAGCCGTTGGCCTCTGCAATCACGAAACTCTTCACAACAATTTGCAAAAAAGAAACAAAACAAAGGAATTGAGTAAACCATTCGAGTGAACACGACATGTAATCGGCCAAGTAAATAAGTCGTGTCCTTGAATTTCTGTCAAGTCGGGTAATATATGGAAAAATACGGGTTGTAATGCCAAAGTGACCTGCACCGTGGAATAGAACGTGCAAATGAGATTGAGAAATTAACACTCATTGCTGGGACTGAATATTCACTACATTCTGAGCATCTTCTAAATATTTATCTCAAGGCCGCTCAACAATTGAATAGTATTCATTTATTTTCACTTGTCCAATCAAAATTCAATTCAAACAAGTGATGAAATCGATTTTTTATTTTCAGTTATCAAATCGTCAATTGCCCCAGAAAAATGAAAAAAATGAAAAAAAAAATGAAAAAATCATCGTAAATAATTGATTAATTAGTCCCTTTCTATTTCTAAAAGACGAATAAATCATTAAAATTGTTTAAACATTCGGAAATTTTTTGATTTGATTGAATGTTTTTTTTGGATCTGTTTAATTTGATAGCGTGCTGTCATTGTTATTGTTAATATTATTTAATGACCAATTTATTTGCGTCTTGAAATTTATAGACCCGAGTCGAAAGAATGATTGTATCAATTAATTAATTACGAGTTACAGCGGTCAATGTCACGGGACGAGCCTCAATGAATCATTGATTAACTTTCTTCCTGGTCATGTCATTAACATAAAATTTTGTTATCACAGTTTATTTCTTCGTCATTGAGTGATTTTAAGTGTTGACACACGATGTACTCTATGTCCTAGGGTATTATCAGTTATACAAGCGTTAATAGACGCCATTACCAATTCTGGGTAATGGTTTCTGTCATTAGACCAGACAATTCGTTTAATTGACGATCTGACGAGAATAAGAAAATTCTCGCAGTCGATTTTTATTGTTTTTTCAAATTCCCGGTGATGTATTCTCCATTGAATTGCCTAATAACAATGAGAAATAAAAAATCATTTTAAATGAAGCTCAAAGCTTAAGAATTAAATTCAACTTGAAAATTTTTGATAATAATAAAAGTTACCGGTAATTTATTTAATCGAGACTGTTTTTTTTTTGTTTTATAATTTTTTCACGCGTTTTATTCACAATATAAATAATAAATACAATTGAACATTAAAAGACTTAACATGTCATTATTAGTAAATTGTTCACTTGTTGATTTTTAAGTGATAAAAAGGCGATTTGGAGACTAACGAATCATAGAATAAACAGACTACGATATCGGAACAGTAAATTATTATAAGAATTATAACTAATCGGTAAATGTCCAGCATAAATAATAATTCATTGTTGTAATAACTGTTGTTATTTTTCAAATGATTTCTGTTGTTCTGTTTGCATTTTTTTTTGTTGTAATAATTAGAAATGTTGTTCGAGTAATCGGAGAGAAAAATTCCTCAATTTTATATTAAATATTAATATCACTTAATATTAATCGGTCTAAAAAACGATTGGTATTAGAAAATATCAGCAGTTTATTATAAAAATGTGTGACGCTCAGAAAAAATTATAGATTTTCAATAAAATTTCTGGAGATTTATCTCCAAAATTCTTATCAATACGAGAAAAATTCAGACTATCCAATAAATTTCTTATCGATTCAGGAAATTATTTCTAGCTGGCACTTCGCCCACCTTTCTGTCCTAGCACTAGAACATTTCCAAAGAAATCATTTCCAGAACGAACGTTCGCTGAATCCCAATAATATTTCCGGAATCTGGTTGGGAAATCCCATAGTCCAGGCTACGACAAAATATATCTTCAAAACCATATTTTCGTTGAATATATTACACGCGAAATTCTCCATTCAGCAATATGAATAATAGTTTAAAGAATTTTCGTTGTATATATTGTTGTTCATAATAAATATTATAAATATGCAATATTTTCCAGTATTGCCTTCAAGCCACAAGAATCCAATAAATATTATAAACATGCAATATTTTCAAGAATAAATCCAAAAAAGACTATTTACACAAGATTAAGATTTCCAGATATTTTTTTATAGATATTTTTATTAATAAAGAATGTTTTATCGCACTAAACTACTAGACTTTTCATGTAATTTCGGTAGTTTATCGAAATTTTCAATAGATTGAAAATTCGGAGAATTCACCGTGAATTTTCTTCATTTTTATTTCCATAAGAGCAACAAAAAAAATATAGAAAATATAAATATGTATCTGAAAATACAGAATCACCTAAATATCCAAAAAATTACCCCATTCTCATTCAATACTCAATAGTTTTCCATAACATCCGAGTAATTTTATCGTTAAATTTACTGTCAATAGTGATACCAACAACAACAACAATAATAATAGCAATAATAGTAGTAATGATAATGAATTTTCCAGAAGTGGTCAAGCTCATCCCGGAACCCCCAAAACAATCCCCGGTAGTTTAAATCCCGGAAAATAGGTTTCGAGGTCGCGCCCCAAAAAAATCACCTCCAGTTAGGGAATACCCGAAGTCGTCGATCCTCTCAAATAATTCCGTAACGGGATTTCATCCTCCGAGGAAAAGAATGTCCAACGAGAACAGTTTTTGGAGGAGTAGGAGACCCCAGCCCTCCACCACGAGGTGCCAATGGACTCTAAAATTCTCCAGTACCTCTTCTAACTCCTACCGAGGAACGACACCTGTCACTCCAAACCATTCAATTCCCTCACAAAAAACCATCAGCCCAAAATTTATAAATTAAAAATTTACACTAACACTCAAGCCTCAGACTAGCCATCCTCTATCACATCATCAACACCTCCAGACCTCTCTCGACTAAAATCTTCACATGGTCACAAAATTTATTCATAAAATAAATGATAAATAAAGAGAGAAAACGGAAGTGAGGAAATTTCAAGTGAAAAGTACCGAGTGTTTGAACAAACGTTCATGAAATACGGAAATACTCACCCTCATTTGTGTATTTTAATCATTTATCATCGTTCCTCTCACTGTCGTATGCAAACAGGAGGAAAATAAAAAATAAAAAAAACGGTTTTGCGTTGGGTACAATTTTAAATATTTATTCAACGACGTGGGTCCGAGGTTGACCGAGGTGGTACCACGTATTATTTCAGTGTGTTGCTTCCCTGCCTTCGGCAAAGTCCTCGTCATTCCGTGGGACTCAGCAAAAATAAGTTCTTGTGAAGTTAAAAAATTTTTCAAACTGCTGGAATCATTTCGATCGCCTTCAAGACGGGTTCCGTAATTTCTAGCGTCGGTGATGTACGTTCAATTTGTTGTTTCAAAATTTTCATCCATTTTTTGGAAACGATATTTTATGTAAGGATGTTCTGAGCATTTTTCCCCGAAATTAACGGTTTATTCAGTTTTCTGACAAATTGTTAATTGAATTGAAACGTAAAAATATACCGTTTTCGCTTTTTATTATTATTTGTCCGAAATCTGTAGATAAAGCATGGAATTTAAAGTCTGGAAGTTCAAGCAAAGTCTCGGGTTTTAAAGATAACTCACGGGAATTTTTAAGCGAAAATGAATATTGATTACCGAATTCTTTTCAATTCTTTGGAAATTCCTTGACAATTCTTCAAACGCTTTTTACGAAATTTTGTGCAAACTCGAAGGAATCGAGGTTTGAAATGAAAATTTTCTCTTTCTTCAACTTTCCTGATATTTATATTATTCTTCGCCGAAAATCCTGGAATTTAAAGCCCCAGTAATCTCACCGCCTTGAGCGTAAAAATACATATAAAATACAAATATATGCGATTTCAGAATCGCATAATTATTTAATAACTGACGAAATCTCATTATCGTATATCAATTCTTTTACTTTTTCATTAAACTTCTTGGAAAGCGCACAAAAGTTGAGGATATCAGTCACATTATTCTGAAAGCTAGATACTACATAAATATACCAATAATAATTAACAATAACCATATAAAATGCTCTATAAACAACAAGATCTTTGAATAAATTATCAAATACACTTCTACGAATTAAAAAAATTAATGTCTCGCATAAATAATGTTTCTTGTCGATAAATTCTAAACTCGACCCAAATATTATCTGTTTCTCGTGTAGCGATAAATTCAGTTGAAATTTTTCAACCGAGTTCTAGAAATTGTTAATGCAAATATTAAACTCGAGTTTGAGAATTATTTTTGATTATAGATGTTTATAAAATAGACCAGTACAAACTAAAAATGCAAATGTCTCTGGTAAAGATAATGTTTCTTACCGATAAATTCTAAACTCGATCTAAATACAATCTTTTTCCCGTGTATCAAAGATTTCAGTTGGGATTTTTTAATGGAGTCCTGGAGATTGTCAATCCCAATTTGTAACTAGAGTTTGTGAATTATTTTTGATTACAGGTGTTTCTGGAGCATCGAGATAAGCATGAGGTAGGACAGCTGGTGAGTGCCAAGACCCATGGGGCTACACCGTTGGTCATGGCATGCAGAAATGGACATTATGATGTGGCAGAGTATCTGATTGAAAAATGCGGAGCTGATATCGAACAGCCGGGATCAGGTAAGAAATAGTCAATTGGAGATTAATGGGGCACGAGGAGAAAATTTTATCAAAACTCAGTGATCTCTTGCTTCCCAGTTACAAAGTTCCTATTAATATTTCAAATTAATTCCTATTAATATTTCTCAATCAATATTTCATTGAATAATTAATTACTTGTTATCAAGTATCGCATTAACATATTACTAAAAGTAATATTAATTCTGAAAATATTACCTCAACGTATTGCCAAAGTATTGCATATTTTTTTTATTGGATTTCACCTGATGTTTTGGTTTTCGCTACAATTTCTACACATTTAACAATTCGTTACATTTTACGGTTTACTTCTAATACTATAATCAATAAATAATCATGCTAAATAATAATAGGTAATAATAATCAATGAATCGGTGGATATTATACCGATCAATATTTTTCGAAATCATAATTCATCATTTATAATATTAAGGCGTGGAATATTTTTATTGATAATATTTTGGTAAATAATATTTATATAATTAAAATTAATTTGAAAGCACAATTAGCTAATTAGAGAAGAATCTCGAAATGTCCGAGACTTTATTTAATTATTCGTGTCATTTTTAAATATAATTCGGTAATTGGGTTTCAATAGGATTTATTCAAGGATCATTTCGTTTGTCTCATACTGTAGTACACGATTTGATTGATATACCGCGGGTTCACCCCACCGTAACTCAATACTCACCTCAGGGAATGAATAAACCTCCTGTCATGCTGAAGAAGCTGCAAAAGGAATAGCAACAACGGAATGTGCCCCTTAAAAATCGCCATAAATCTCAGATAAACCTAATAATCAGTCGATTGATGGGTCGATAAACATCACCCTAAAAGTTGCAACAATGTAAAAGCATTTGAAGGATCGTGATCGTGATTAAGTTTTACCCCATAAGTATCTTGAAACGTCAGCTGGGTAACATTGACCGCAGTTCTCTTCTCGTAATTTACGTTCTACTTTTAGAGACAATAGCTCGTCCCCGGATAATATTTGCAATTACTCTCTACAAAGTAGAGGCTGTAATTTTTTTAGTACCTTGTAATTTCTCATCTTTATTGTGTATATTGTGTAGTCGTGTTCGATGGTGAGACGATCGAAGGGGCACCACCACTCTGGTGTGCAGCGGCTGCTGGTCATCTTGCTCTTGTCAAACTACTTGTCAAACGTGGAGCTAGATTAAATTCAACGACAACCACCAATTCTACACCCCTCAGAGCTGCCTGCTTCGATGGACATTTCGAAATCGTCAAGTTTCTCGTTCAACATGGAGCTGGTGAGTTACCCCAATCTCTCAATTATAAATTAAAAATTATCAGATTTTATTTTTGTATTCATCATGTCTATTTGAGATTTAAGTAAAATATCATGCCCAAACTTGGGCTCTTTACAATCTTAAGGCAACTTTAGTTTTTTTTTTTTGCGCCGGAGTCCTCAAAATTTCACTGAAACATCACAGCGTTGACCCTCATATCACAGCAAATGAAGAACTTTTAAAAATTCAATTAACAGACATCGAAGCAGCGAATCGCCACGGCCACACATGCCTGATGATAGCTTGTTATCGTGGCCACATTCGAATAGCCAAGTACCTCCTCGCCCTGAAAGCCGACACAAATCGTAAATCAGTGAAGGGCAACACAGCCCTTCACGATTGTGCGGAGGCTGGTTCCCTGGAGATCCTGAAGATTCTTCTGGAACACGGTGCACGTATGGAAGTGGATTCCTACGGGATGACACCTCTCTTGGCAGCAGCTGTGGCAGGACGAACTCACATCGTCGAGCATCTCATCGGTATTCCCCACTTGGTCAATAGAAAAGAGAGAATTGATGCCCTGGAACTCCTGGGGGCGACTTACGTCGATAAAAAGAGAGATATGATCTTGGCGTTGGAGTATTGGAAGAGAGCGATGGAGGAGAGGTACAGGGGCGATGGTCCTGTCATCGAAAAACCACCGAGACCACCAGTCGTTGCTGCCTATGATTACGCACAAGAGGTAATAAATAATTCAATATTGTAAATTATTCACCCTCTCCCATGGGATTTTTTTGTCAATTCCAATTTCAATTATGCCCTTTAATGAATCGATTAAGATAAATCATTCTCTGGTTGAACGAGAAAATTACGAAAAACTACTTCGATTTTATCAGTCATTTAATTAATTGACGACTGAGTTTAAAATACAATAGAAAAAGAACCTGAAGACGGAATGGATTTGACAATGATTGAAAATTCAATAGCACGTGGAAGAATACAATTTGAATTAATAAATATTCAAAAATCATTTAAAATTTTGAAAGGCGAGCGCGAAATTACTGAATACAGAGTCAATTTTCACTGTGAATTACTAATTACTGATAATTGAATACTAAATTGACAGATTGGTCATTAACTCAATATCCTCGATTATTCTAGACTATAATTCTACATTAATGTTAATTAGGACGTTTCACAAAATAATAGACTGTTAGTTTGATCTTTGGAATTTCATAATCAACATTAATAATGAATTTCATCGAATAAAATGGCCGAAACTCATTAATTGAATAGATTTATTGTCCTGTATGAAATTGTTATATATCCCCTAGAGCTTTTGAGACATTATATCTGATTGTAATTATGTTGATTGCAGGTCTCAGAACCTGAACGGCTGGACGAATTACTGGCGGATCCCGATGAGATGAGAATGCAGGCATTGGTCATCAGGGAGAGAATTCTCGGTCCTGCACATCCAGACACTAGTTACTACATCAGATATCGCGGTGCTATTTACGCTGATGCTGGTAAATTTGAGAGGTGCATTGAACTGTGGAATTATGCGCTGGATATGCAGCAGAGCATGCTGGAGCCATTGAATCCCATGACGCAGAGTTCGTTGTTCAGTTTTATTGAGTTATTCAGTTTTATGGTTGGGGAGGAAGGAAGACAAACTGGCAGAGGGAGGAGAATACCCCCGGTCCAGAGGGCCGATCTCATGAGGGTATTCACAAAAGCTGTAAGTATTTGTTATTAAATCCAAATGGCGGATTTAGTATCGCTTTATTTTTCAATTATCCAATTTTACTTGGAGATTTATTAAAATGTCCTCAAACCCCCGAGAGTTTATTCAGCTCTTGGGCGTGTCCATTCGAATATTAATCATGAATTTTTACAAACTTTTAAGAAAGATTTTATAACAAAAAGGTTATTTGTGCTTTTATGTTTTTGCTTCAAGCAAATTCTATCGAAATTTTTTGATCTGCAATTTTTTTAATTCACATATGGGGAACTATTTTTTGATATTGCATTTATTTTTCAATTATTCTTCACGTTATTATGCCAATAAACAATTCAGGGAAGATCAGTGATGGATAATGTAGTGGTAAATTCATTTATTCTACGTGATTTTCTTTTCTATTTCAGGTTATGGAGGTTAGATTAGGAAAACAAATGCTGGACAAGGTGCCGAAGTGTGATCGGGACCTTACGAATTTAAACAGGATACTTATTATTACTCTCCATCTTGCCTGTCTTTTGACAAGGGAAATGCCACAGGTTGGGTCCGAGGAGTACGTTAAGCTTCATCGAGCTATTCACGAGTTGGTTCGAATTAAGGCCAAAGATAAAGGAGTAAGTAGTATTTTGCGTCCACAGTTGATATCCATAAATAAATACTCTGCGTCTATAACAATTTCTTTATTTTTTCGGGATTATTTTTCTTCAAATGCAAGTTTTTTAACAGAAAGGCAGAAGAATTGAAGAGTCCTTCACACATGAAAATGGTAATTGATATTTTTGTAATTAATTAATTGTCAGGGTCGAGACGTTCTCCAGATGACCCACAACGCAGACGCCTCGATAACCGGTAGTTATCCAGGATGCAAATTGACATCCACCCAGCTGACGACAGCCCTTTTGCGCGCAGGCTCCGATCCAACTGCCACCGACGACGAGGGCAACACGGCTCTCCACCTGACTGCAATGTCCCATCCCTGGAGAACAGACCTAGCAACAGTCCTCTTGAAAGCTGGTGCCCACATCGACGCTGTCAATAGCGAGGGACAAACCTATCAGACTCTTCTGGATGACAAAGAGAGATACGACTCCCTCAATCCCCTTAAATACACGAGCTTAATGTGTCTAGCTGCCAGAGTTATCAGGAGAACTGCCAACATTCTCATCAACAGGGTACCCTGGCATCTCCATCAATTCGTCATCCAACACTAGTTTATTTATCTCCACGTTCATCCGGATTCACTCTAGTCCGACTGCTCTAACTATTAGGTGTATAAATTAACTAATCTCTCCGTGTTCTCTTTTTCATTGAGTTGTTTTATTTGAAATCCAACTTTTCACGCGTTCCTTTGAGATTTTGGAGAGAAGACTTTAGTCTTTAATTCGCTGGATATAATACCTGGAAAAGCAACTTCACGAAGCAGTAGAGGGGGTGGGGTATTACGGATAATTTTTTTTATAATTGCAGGAAATAAAAATTGTTGTTGCCACAATTTAGGTTCAGAGATTGTCAATGCATGATGTGTCAACCGCTGACGTGAGACAAAATTGACAATTGACAAAAAAAAACAGATATTCATTTACTCTCATGTATTTTCAATTTTGAGGAGGAAAAAATTGAGAAAGAGTTTATTTTACCCCACGTGTCCGTATTACCCGATCCTCCTCTACATACAGTGGGATTCTATCAAGAAAAAAAAACCAATTAAGTCCAGTCGATTAGCTCTACTCTTGGAAGTAATGTTGTGTCTTATGGTACGTGTAGATGCTGGTGTAAACGCTTTGAAGATAAAAATTTCAATAGTAAATTTTCAATAGGCTGTGGAAATTGCTGAATAGCAAGAATTCAGTGGTGAAGTGGTAAAAGGAAAAATTTGGCTTATCTCTCAGTCGAGTTTTTGAGCAATATTTGTAAATCCAAAGGACGTCGCGAAATTTTTGTAATAATAATTGTTGTAGCACTCAATTGGTTCCACAAAGAAAGTTATAATACAAATATTAATATCTTCTTTATATTCTGAGATATCCATTGAAATTTCAATAGACAGAATTGATTCATCACCGTTTATCGTTTCGCTACTCAATTCCTCGACAAAGACTCGAGAAAAACCCAAAGAAAACTTGCAACTCGCGAAGGAGTTACGGAAACCAGTTTCTAAACGAACCCATGCGATGGAAAATATGGAAGAAGTAGAAAAATTTGTTCCACACGAACTGACTGAATACAAATGCATGCAACCAGCTTCATTGCCTCGGAGCTTTCAATTTTCATGTTAAATATTGTTTAGTTTAAAAAAGCGGAAAGATTAAGTTATACACCTAACAAATCGTCGTCTCTTATTTTTTACACTTGTCTGTTTATTTTTTGGCAGCCTATTTTATTTGTGTAATAAAGCAATCATGGTAATAATTATAATTTTTTTTGTCCATTTCTTTTCGGGAGTGGAGGTGAGAACCTTATATTAATGTCAGTAGAAAATTAATAAAATAAAACCTCGTCTTTTATTCCACAATGTCAAAGTTGTCCCTCGATATTCAATATGAAGTCTATTAAGGATGTTTACCAGGAATTGCAGAAGTTCGCGAAAAAAAATCCTTTTTTATACTGAAAAACTCGATAAGTATATGCTAATAATATTATGTAGGGTAGACGCGGGCAAAATGGGATGAATCCGGAGGTTTAATAGGAGATGAGGGAAAGAAATCGAATCACTTAAAAATACCTTTCGCAAGTGTCCCATTTCGCTGGGGTCTACTCTATGCAGTATATAAAACTGCTACTCGTCCTATCTCCAGAACGCAAACAGCTGTTAGACATCGCGATTACCGGGTTTATTTATATCGTTTATCGATCGACGGCTAAATTTCATGGTCATTTTATCGAAAGTCAGAGGAGATTTCTTGTGAATCCTGAATGCACTATACACTGACCCACTAATTCATGTTTAGTATTTAGTAGACAAATGGAATAGAATACTTGAAATATTTTATCTATTGGGACTGATATTCAAAAATATTCACGTTATCTTCTATTTTGATTTATTTTTAAATTTTTTCAAGAGGTCAATCATTCATTTGAACTTAAATTCTATGAAAACTCGTGAATAAAAAAAAAGTGCCATATGTTTTATTAGCTGAAAAAATCCTGGAATTATTTCTGAATATGAAAGACATCCACTGACAAATGTTAAATATCCTGAATTCGAATTGAAGTGTTTTATTGATATCTTCTTGGAATCGGAGCTGAATAATTCGATTTAACTTGAAATTACTTGAGGTGGATGGGGTGAAATTATTTTTTTTTCGTTTCCGAAGCTTCTCCACTATTGAGATAATTGTATTGGGACTATCTTGAAAATTGAAAAATTCAGAAAAAAAGAGTTTAATGTTGAAATAATTGGTAAAATACTGTTTAAATTATTTTTTTAAATTGGAGCTGAATGCTTCGATTGTGGAGTAAAATCTTTTTTTTTTTACTTCAAGATCTTTTATCAAGAAAAACATAATATTATTTTAATTAGACGATTTTTATAAAAATGTGGGGAATTGGATTAATGCGCAAAGTACGATTTCAAAGTTGCTCCTCAAAGTTTAGAGTAAGAATTCATTAATTCTAAATAAAGTCTTGCCGAGACGTAGAACAACTCATTATCGTTGAGCTTCATCCTATTTCCAGATTATTTTCTTATCGTATTTTGTATTCACCGCAGTCGTCAATTAAATAAATGAATGTGATTAGATCGAAGTAGTTTCTTTTAATTTTCTCATTCTACCAGATTTTTCTTCTCCTGATCAATCGATCGATGACTATAAATAATTATTTCTCATGTTTGACGAGTGTAACCGATTATTATAAATAAACAGAATTTTTATCGAGATGAATGAAGAGAATGACGAGTGAATGACTGGGTGATGCTCAGTTTTATATTGTGAAAAAATTAGCAATTTATTCCTCTCATTGAGCTGTTATTTCCGGGGCTTGTGTTAAACTGATTTCCTTCATGTGGATTATGATAATTATTAGTGATTAATGTAATAAAAGAATGGATTTAAATCCTCGTGGATTTGTGATGATAATCTCAAGCCTGAACCAATTAAAATCCTGACAAAACGGTATTAATTCGACAAATCAATTATCGACTAGTTTTCTGAATTCTTCTTTATTCAAATATATATAAATCCGATAAAAGTGTTTTTTCAACAATCTTTGGAGCGTGAGATAAATACCCATTACACCAGACTTACCAGTTAGAATAATCCTGACGATCTCCTGAAATAATAATAATTCAATATGAATCACGATTAATTTATTACTCTTGGGACTCACCGCTTTCATCTCAAGTTCCTCATCTGTAATGAAAAATCTTCATTCTCATGACGAGATTCTCATTAATTATTACCGATAATAAATCGACCCTCGATGTTATTCACAATTAAAAAATTGACACCATTAATAAAAAAAACAATTAATGAGAGATGAAAGAATAGTGAATTAATGACAACTTGTCTTTGAAAAGAGAGAATACATTCGATGAAATGGATCAACTGAATTTTAGAGTGACGAATCGACATGTACGAGACATCGTAATTAGTCGAGTGCACGTAAGAGTTCATCGAGCCCCTTATCAAAGTGTCTTAGCGAATGTATTGATAACAATTACTCAACGATAACTACAGAAACATGAGAAAAACCTACTTACTTAAATTGAATTCTCGTGGAACAAATCATCGATTCCATTATTTTATTTAATTCTTCGAAACCAAATGATTGCGTAAATTTCCATTGCCAGAGTTCATTAAAAATTCAGCTGATGAATACGGCGAGAAACTGGAGACGAGTATTTTCCCCTGATATTTCTCTTCAAAAATTGGAAAAATACGAAGAGATGATGATATTTAACAGTAAATCAATAGCATGAAAAAATACATTTCCAAATTCAACTGAAAACTCGGATGATTGTCAATTAGGGAAATACATCAGCGAAACTCATCTCCTCCTTTTCAATTACTCTGGAGAACGCCAAATCCATGTGCATCCATTTGAATGACAAATTAATCCACTTCTAGTGCTCGAAGATCTTTTGAGAGCAACAATTTCCTTAAAACAGTGGCTTCTCTCCCAGAGTCTCAATCTTCAATATCTCCAACATCTCGAGATCGACAGAGTGAAATTCGAGAATCATTTCTCACCTTCGAGATATTATTTTCCAGGGTCAAAACCAGACTCTTAAATACCATTTTCCAGTACAGCCTCCAGTTTCCTCCTATCCTCAATGGCACCAGTCCCTCGAAGGTAGAGTAGTTGAAAAAAAAAAAATTTATACTCGAATGCAGATTCTCAAAGTAACAAGACCCACATTCATTGAATAATCTTACACTCTGTGTCTGGAAAATTATTACATTCAAATGAAAGAATATCTACCTCAGTAATCATCAGAAAATTACTCGGTGAACATCTCAATACATCATCAAAATAAGCCTGAAGAAGTAAAACACAAAAAAACGACCCATGCACAAAATATTCATCTCAGTCAAGTTGAGTCTCAATTTTATTCACTGTATGAAATTCATCGGTTATTACAAGACATTATTTTTTCAATACATCAGACTGCCTTGATTATGCTATTTGATGGACAAATAATAAATTGACACACACACTGCAGGTGGAGGAAATAAAAATCGAAATCCACGAGAACTCAGACGTGAGGTGGGAGCCAAAGAGACTATCTCTCCCTCTAATCCTTTTAAGTTTCCACTGCCCACCGATCAAAACCCTCGACTCAAATAAATTGTCTAAGTACGGGAATAAACCCAAATAAAACCCATTAATTGAACGTTATAATCACTGACCTAAAGCTGAATCTCGATTTTTTCATCAGCTGTTTGTGAATGAGAAGAATTACCATCGAATCTAATCTACGATTTGGTATTATTGTAGAACAAACTGCTGCTTGATTATTTCAATAAAACTATCTCCACTTTGATATTGAGTATTGAGAAACACTCGTCAGAATCCTTACAGGAATCATCAATAATCATCAATAATTATTGATTATGATCGGTTGAAGTCAGTAGTGAATGTGGAAATAAAAATAGTCAATTTGAATTTTTCCTCTTAGCGAATATCTTTCAAATTACCAGAGACAGCAAAATTTTCGCGGGAACAAAAATTTCGCCATCTCCCTCAGTTTCCAAACTATTTCCAAATAACAAAAAGAAAAAATATATATATTATCGAGTGAATTGACTCAATTCCCTCAACTCCACAACTGAACTCCCAAGCTGTTCCATTCACCTGCAAATGTCCATTAAACCTTAAAACTAAAGATAGTTCCTAGATACAAATGTCCTACGTTACAATTTGAGTAATAACGAACAGATTACGAAGCCCTAACTTTCCTGTGGGATCAGCAATAATATCAAATATCCACTCTGGAACACGAAATAAATGAATGAAAAATAAATGTATACGCTTGGAGATATTATCATGGGATTGATCGTGTCTTCTCCCCCGGAAAAATCGACTTTAAATCGTCTTGAATCGAAGAATTCATCGTCAGAATGAATTATCATCCACTTGTGGGTGCCCAAAAACGTTGCGAATTATTCTCGAGGCCAGGAAATACGTTTTTTTGTCATTATCTCGTTTGGAACGTCAAACCCCATGGTAAAACATCGTCGAGGAGAAAAAGAACAGCATTATCTTCTTGGAATTCCGTCAAGAGCTCTGAATCCAGCGGACAAGCCTCCCGAGGGGATCAATGAGATTATGTGTCATAAGAATCTGGAATTGCTCTTTTGTTTTTTTTTTTTGCGAGAGACTGTTTTCTTTACCTTGATTTCTGAGCTTTAGTACAGGCGAACCTCGATCGTTCTGCCATCGATGCGGGACCGGTTCATCATGGCTGGCAATCATTAATTAAGGAAATACATTCATAAATTTCAACTTTCAAGTATATCCGAGTGCTCTGGTTTTTTACACCAAATTTATCGAGTGAATTGACATGGATAGATTAAAAAACGCTAGTAAACGTAATTTTTAAAAATCATTACAATCTTGAAAAATTACTTGAAAAAAAAGATTATTTGTCAAGTTAATTATAAGAAAACAGCAGATTTTAAAAATTGCAAATCAGTAATGATTTTATGAATCTTATAAATCTTAAAAAACGATAAAAAATACTCGGACATTCTTAAAGTTGAAAAAAATCTTTATGCATTTTTTTTATATCAAAGGATACACACTGCTCTCTCAGCATCCCACTCTGATGCAAATCTGATCATCCCCAAGTCATTTCCTCTCATCTCAGCGAATTTAACTTCTCCAATATCCTGGAATTTGTCTCTGAGCATTTGCCAAGTGGTGTTTGGTGGAAGCTACAAGAAAAACCATCCAATTGATTTAATAATCACCCGATCGCCGTGTAAAATGAATAAAAGGCTTTTGAAGCTTAGAGAGATGAAGAATGAGAGATAATTACATTCCCAATGAGAATAGTATCAGACATTGGTCTTGATCCATTGGTATTCTGTCTCTGTCCACTGCCAGCACTACTTTGATTGCCAGTGAAAACACCGCTATTCCCTGAAATTCGGTCAGCCTCATTTCGAGCAAAAGCATCAAAGTCATTTCTGCTGCCATAGTTGGAGCCTCCAAAGGCATTGCTGCCACCGAATGAAACGTCAGAGTCGAGTTTGCCCATTCCTCGTGGAGCGAATGAATTGGCTGCCTGACTGTTTGCTAGAGAAGCCTGCAGACTCGACAATCCACCGACACTGTTGCTGAAGCTATTCAGATTTGATGCTAACTCTGACGTCAATGATGGGTTCAACAGTGAATTTGTCGTCAAATTAGCACCTAGGCCACCAGCGAGACTCGCCTGAAGGGCTGCAGCGTTGGAGTTGGAGAGGGCTGAAGCTGGAAAAACATTTAACAACTTTAATGGCAAGTCATACCAACTCGTTGAAATCATATTTCTGGGAATTTTAGAAAGTGAAATTATCGCCAAAACTAATCGCTTCAATAATTTCAATCTCTCGTTGGATTACAATACACTTCAATATAATATGAATAAATTTGGTAAAATATTGATGGTTTTTTTTAAAATTTTTCTCCAAATAATAAATAATAGAAGTTAGGTGCGAAGCGATATTTCATTTTCTATGAAACGAATTGAATGCATTGAATTCTAGTGATAATATCGACTAGGATTCAACAATACTTACACATGAGAAAAAAATGGCAGATAAAGTTTAAAAAATGGCATTGCTAGACTTTCTGAATCATATTGGGTTGATATATAAGATAAAAAATGGGAAACATAAATGTGGGCCAAAATAAAAAATTTGAAAATATAATGAAAAATAGAATTTTTCCATCTCTATAATAAAAAATACAGGGGTAATGTTTCCATTTGCAAATTCCCAAGATGATCCATGAATGTACAAGTGAGAGTTTCCGAGTAAACAAAAAAAATCATATCAACCAACCGAACTCACCCAGCTGGGCGGGTACAACATTATTGAGTCCGGCACTGAAAGCACTAGTAGCCAGCACAGGTGCAGAGATGGGATTGACAACGGGTGTTGCATTAGTCTGAACATTGGGAATATTTCTCGCGACATCAGTAAGTCTGTTGCCCCCAGCACCCAAACCCATTCCAATTCCCTTCAAGCCCTCTGGTAGCTTCGGTGGCAGATCAGGATCATTAGCACGATCCATTCGCACAGTCATCCTTCTGTCAAACAACTGCTGATTATGGAGCATCGAGATCGCCTGAACAGACTCCACCGGGTGATCGTACTCCACAACTCCAAATCCCCTCGATTTTCCATCCTTGTCCTTCCCCAACTCAACGTTGATGACCTTCCCAGCGAGTTTGAATACCTCCAACAGCTTCTTCTCGTCGACTTTGTAATCGAGATTCGCCACGAAAACACGAGTCACTAGGGGACCATTGATGCCCAGGGACTCGAGAAACTGAGTGCTCAGACCGTAAGTGTTACCGAATTTCGTGTCATTTCCAATAGAACTACCACCACCTCCTCCACTGCTTGATGATAGAGTTTGCCTTGTACTCTGGCGAGCACTATCTCTGAAACGATCCTCTCTCTGTCTGTCGTGATCTCTGGAGGACTGGAGACGTCCGTACTTGTCCCTCTCAGCATCGTAATCCTCCTTGACGACTAGTTTACGACCTTTGATATCGAATCTATGCATTTTCTCAACGGCTATTTTAACTGAATCAGAGTCCTCGAACTCAACGATTCCACAACCTCTGGGTTTTTCACCCTCGTCAGAAAACAGCTCCACATGGGCAACTTTGCCCACTTCTGTCCTGAAGAGATCCTTCAGATCTTGCCACCTGAAGTCGTACGGGATGTTTGATACGTATATCCGTCGCTCGGAGATACGACGACCTCGATCGTTTCTTTCGCGACTGCGATCACGAGATGCTGAATTCAAACGAGACTGACGATCTGTTCGACGAGAGCGATCGCGCTCGCGACTTCGGTCCCGATCGTCATTCTGTAGAGAACTAGAGGAAAAACGAAAAATAAAAAAAGCACTTGCATTGATAATAACAGTAATTGATTGGTTCAAATAATTTGAGAAGAAGGTAGAGAAATAAGGAAATTTCGTCGAACGAGCGCATATTCATCTATTTCCGTGTCAACTTGTCATTTGTAATAAATTGTTTGGTATAAAAGGGTACAACTAAATTTTTAATTGATTTTCTTCTTGTTGCTCAGCATTTCTAATATTTTCTTATCCTCGAAAAGAAGAAAACGGGGTTTTCCTGAAAGCTTGCGATTTACTTGTAATATTATTGATAATTATTGGAATACACTAATTGATAATTAAATGATAATGTAGTCCACAACTCAATGAGTATTTTGTATCATGCGAATTGAAAAATGCTAAAGATCGAGGATTCACTTCCGATGAAAAAGGTTTAGAAAAAAAAATGCTGAGAATTTCTCTAAACAAAACTGCTAAGTAAAATAGCAAGAATATTAAAAAATTGTTTATGGAAAATTCAAGTGCTCATGTTTCCCCCTTTGGCCCAAGTTATCGATAAAACCGAACGATTCATTCTTGTTTTTTTTCTACTAAACAATTTCTGAAATCTCGCAATGCGATTACAAGTCCCTCATTACGGATCTCAAGGAATATGAGATAATCGGTATTATTATTAAGAATGTTCTAGACTGTTCTTTCTGCCAAAATCTGCGGTTTTCATCTTTCTCGATTTTTCTGGCAAACTTATGATAAATGCGATAAATATGACAAAACACAAAAACGTTATATTTTTCATATCAATCCGATTGATAATTCACAAGAAAAATAAGAAGAACGTGAATTTTCGCTGAAAGGTGAACTTAATTACAGGACGAGCTAAATTAATGATCAATGAATCGGTCGGCGTTTGGAGTCGAGACGCCTTGAGTCCCTGCAAAATCAATGAATTGCGATTGCTCACTTACTCGTCAGTTTTGTTCATTGTCTCGTACTTTCACAAGCTCTTCGACTAGTAAATTCTCAACTAATTGATTCGTGAATGTTGCGAAGCACTTGAAATACTAAAAACCGATTGAAAGTGATGCCCTGGGATCACAACTGACACTTTTTTACGTACGCCGAAGGGAACAGCGTCCTGACAAAATGGCGAATATCTCCAACGGAAGTGTTAGTCGATGAGCGGCACCGGATACCACTCGAGTCAGTCTGAAGCAGAAACGGCGCTAGAATTCAATTTTCCAATGGAGAATAAACCAGGGAATAATCGAGATAATTAATTCGCATATTCTGCCTGTACAGTTTTTTTTAGTTTTCTAACAATTCGTTAATAGGATTGGCCGGAAAGAAAATACCGTTTTTGCATGCGATCCTTATTTTATGACTCATGGACTTTCAAGAGAGTACAATAAATTTATTGTATTTTTTCGAAAATTTAAAGAGAGCACCATGAATATTCTTAATTTATCAGTAATTTGTTGTACTCAACCGTAAATATATAATATGAAACAGGCATAAAGGGTTTGATTAACTGAAACATTTCCTTCGCATTATTAAATTATCATTTTATATGATTTAGAAATTATTTTATGGAAAATATGTAAGTGGAAAATATTTTTTTTTTCATTCATATGATTAGTCATTTTCATAAAAATCGTATCATCATCATCACGATGAACTGTCTGCGATTCCACGTCCGATGGAACAGTAAACACAATTTTAAGCGAAATCTGAGTGACCAAATGACATGTACTAAATAAACAGGCTCATTATTCGACTCGTACTACTTATTTTCACAAATGTAAATATTCACCGGCCGGCCTGGACCGGGCGATAATATCCGTTGAAGTAACCTTCATGATTGCTGAGGAAATTGAAAAACTTGTGAGTAATTGATTATTCAATTGATACAAGTGTGGCCGGAGCAAAATTTCATATTTTCTATTGATTCGAATTTTTAATCCGCTAATTTTTAAACAATGGTGAAAGTTTTTTGTGCCCCAAATCTCTTTTAGGAATTCTAAATCTCTGTTATTATTTTTGCCGGGAACCTCCAATACATGTTTTTCAAGGATATGTATAAATAATTTTTGAATGCATCCTAAAATTTTCGAATTTTTCCTGTCAAATCGAGATCAATGTTGCTGCCAATTCCAATATTTTCTGTCACTCTACTCACCAAAGACTTGTATTTTCAGTAAAACGTAAAAACATCATTGAAAATGGTTCAATTCGGAGTGATAAAGATCGATGACACATCAACCTTGAACTTCATCAACTTCGAATGGGCCTTGAATGTATCAGAATTCCAGCTGAGCCTCGCAAAATTACCTGTGGTATCACCAATATTTTCCACATTCCAAGGTGATTGGCAACTAGAATTCAACAAAGCAAATGAAAATTTGAGAGGTCATAGATGTACATCGCTGTACCTTCGTCTCGTCTCCATGAAGCCTGGGATAAAAAAAATCGAAGCACACTGTAAGTTCACAGTAACTGGAAAGCAATTCGAACACTGCGACGAGCTGTATTTTGATTCTCTTGCGAGAAAAGAAGTTGGAAAAGAGACTGAATTTTTTCGATACCTCATAGTATCAGACACGACGAGTGGTGCCTTGCACGGTAAAATGTATATCTCATCGTCACCAAGTCGTGGAGCGCCGATGATCAGCTCTCAAGAGGGTGACTGGAGCCACGATTTTTCTCTACTCTGGAGAAAATCCAAATTGACAGACGTTTGTCTGGTGGTGGGAGGTCGAAAATTTAAGGCACACAAAGTTGTATTGGCAGCTCGCAGTCCAGTTTTCTTAGCAATGTTCGAGCAGAAAAACTCACGGGAGAGTCTCATAAACGAAGTGGAGATTGAGAACATAGAGCCAGCAGTGGTGAAGGCCATGCTGAAATTCTTTTACACCGATGAAGTTGATAATCTGAAGGATGTGGCTTATGGATTGTTGGGGGCTGCCGACAAATACAATGTACCACTCCTCAAAAGCATGTGTGAGAAAGTTCTTTATGATAGCGTGGACGAGGAGAATGCTGCCTACATGCTGATCCAGGCGGATCGTCATTGTTCTCATGGATTGAAGGATTATATCATGCAATTCATGGATGATCATCTTGTTAAAGTCGTCAAGACGGACAGCTACAAACATTTGGAGAAATATCATCCTGCACTCGTCATGGAAATGATGCGATCTTTTGCTATTCACAAGTTGAAAAAAGTGGAATTGATGGAGAAGAATTGAAGATATCTGGTGTCAGTTTCATTGCGAATAGGGATGAATCATTTTTTATGGCGATTAAACCAAGGGATCGATGATTTTTAAAGAGAATTCTGTATTTTTCATTAGGCAATCCATTCTTTTTATTGAGGTAAAATAGTATATATCGTAACAAGTGCGGAAAAGTGATTTTTTGGCGTGTGGTTGTGGTTTCTGCGCGGGTCGCACACAATATTTCTCTTTTAATTGTCAAATAATACGTTAATCTGATTAATGGTTCGCGTGATGAAGTGCGTGATAAAAAGTGTTCGCCTCATCTCGCGTGTTATGAGAAAAAAATTTAATGAAATCTTTTAATTAATAAAAATAACTATTTTTCTGGATAATAATGAGATTTTTTTGTTAATCAATTATCAATGCCGATGATATCATAATTATCGACTTTTTTTGTACTAGTCTAACTGCTTCACGTGTAATTGAATCTAGTTAATTTATTGTTTATTCGAAAATTCAGTACTAGACATTTGTTTCTACAATTCTTATTTCTTCTATGCTATTTTGGATGACACATTCGCAATATTATGACTTATATTTAAATGGAATTACTATTTTTAAAACATGACACGTGAAATTCGGGATATTATCATCGATAACTCTTGATCAAGTCGATGGAATTGAAAAATTCAAACATCATCATAAAATATCTAGTTTCTATGAGATATCATTCATGAGAATTGAGTCGTAAGCACTCAATTTCCGGTTCTCCGAAAGTGACGACTTCCTTTTCACGACGTGCTCGCCAAAATGCTGAAGGTTTGCTCCATTTTTCACCCTTAAATCGTCAAAATAAATTGTTAATCAATCGTTTTATTCAATATTTTCTTTTATTTTTGATTACAGAAACAGAAGGAACCTATTCACTCTGTGCAAGTCTTCGGACGCAAGGTAAATTAGTGCTTTTAATTGTCAACTTCACATGGCGTGACTCTCATAACCTCACAGTTTCGTCAATCTGTAGAGATTCGAGAGAATAATTATCTGGATTTTTGTGCTCTTCATGGAATTTTTTATTATTGTAGAAAAGTGCAACTGCTGTTGCTTATTGCAAGCGCGGCCGTGGAATCCTGAGGGTTAATGGAAAACCACTGGAGCTTGTGGAACCCCGTGTTCTTCAGTACAAACTCCAGGAGCCAATTCTCCTCCTTGGAAAGGTAATTCAAAGATTCAAATATTTTAGAGGTTGCAATAAAAATTCCGAGTCCAGAGTTGAGTTTTTAAAACTTGTAGCTCTGACGTGGATCAATCAAAAGTCAAAATTTTTTGTCTTCTATATTTTGTGATATCTTTAAAAATATAACTTATGCTGTTTTCTCAACAACAAAAAATCAATTCTCAATTACTTAATTAAAAGATAAATTTCTCAGCGGCTTTTAACATATAAACAAAACTCTATTCTCTAATATTTATTGAATTTTTCGGGATAGTCTCCAATAGTTGTCAAAATAATTCAAAAATTGATTGAAAATTTTTCGATTTTCTCAACTATTAAATTGCGATTGTGGTTTTCTTCAACAGGAAAAGTTCTCTGGGGTGGACATCAGGGTTCGTGTAAACGGTGGTGGTCACGTCGCCCAAATCTACGCAATCAGACAGGCTATTTCTAAAGCCCTAGTCGCGTACTACCAAAAGTGTAAGTCTACAAACCCTGAAGAAATTAATCCACCATCGAGGTCAATCAAAATCAATCCTCAATATTCTTCACCATCGACAGACTTTTCAAAATAATTATTTCCAAGTCTAGATGATTTTTCACCAATTTTTATTGACCTCCGTCGATTTTTCCCTCAAACAAAATTCTATCGTCTCGAACCTGCAGTCAATAATTAATTAGTTAATTAAAAATACACCTCAAGGACTTGACTACTTTTTCAAATTAATTTCCTTGTAACAATGACGTGACAACAACAAACATGTTATTTTACCCTTTTCTTTTTATTGTAAAATGAGTATTAAATAAATTAGGTTTAGATCGTTTCTGTCAGAGATGCGTCAGATCTTGAGAAATTGATTATCGATGACCTATTTGATTGGTGCAAGGGAAAATGATTGATTTTTCGATGATTTATGGTTGCAGATGTCGACGAGGCCAGCAAGAAAGAGGTGAAGGATATCCTCATTCAGTACGATCGTACCCTCCTTGTAGCTGATCCAAGACGTTGCGAGCCCAAGAAATTCGGTGGTCCAGGTGCCAGGGCCCGCTACCAGAAATCTTACCGTTAACCACCTTTTTGCATTGCGTTTCATGACGTGATTAATAAATATGTAAAAAATCCAAACGCAAAAGTCTTTCTACTTTATTAATATTTTTTATTAATTAATCATATAATTAACTTTTTTACTTCATTGAAAAGTAATTGGTTATTATCGAAGTGGTGAAATAGGAGAGTTAAGAGAATATCTCTGCAATTATAATTATAAAAAAAGCGCTATTTTTGCCAAAACCTTATTTGTAGAGACGATTAACCTCGAAAAAGGAAATTACAAAAATTGCATTATTTCCCTTAGTCTCGGAGATATTCCTGAAATTATCACGGAAGAAGTAAGTTGACATCACGGCAGGATCACACACTCATTCCCTTTATTGTCAAATATCTTGGTAACAGAGACAGATTGGAAAAATTTGATAGAAACTTTTTTGCAGGTCGTGAAATTCTCTACAAATTCTTCTACATCAAAATTTCGATATCCCCTTTAGGCTCTGAGATATTCGCAATAGTCCATCTGGTAATATAGTTGGAAAATTAATTAATTTCCTTTCAATCAATTACCAATTTCGGGGAAATATCTCGTGATGCAATAGAAATACAAAGATTTGTGTAGGAGCTTTTTTGTAGCTGGTAAAATTCTCTAAGAGAAAGTGTGGGGCGAAAACGCGCTATTTCTTGAAAATTCCAAGATTTTCGTCGAAAACTCAACCGATCTCTTACCTTTCCTAGATCCACATCTCAATAATTCAAATATTTTTTAAGAAATAGAAGATTCTTTGCATATTGTAGTCGATGATTAACTTCAATGACCCCGTCCTAGAGAAGCATTCGACTTCATCAGCCATGCGTAACGAATGTAATCTAACCTGATTTTTCAATTTATCTACAAGTTTACATCTCCTCTGCTGCTGTCATAATACCCCATCGTCCTGCTCCATGAGCTGACCATCATGAAGACGAGATTCGATACCTTTGACCTAGTATGTTCTGTAGCAGAGCTCCAAAGGTAATTCTTCGAAACAATTCTCAAGAAATTAAAAACGGAAATCATAGAACTCTGTCTTCGTGACATGTATAACCTGTCATTCCACTCAAAGACCACCTGATTCTAAATAAAATTTTCGATATCACTTATTATTTTTATCATATTCCCGACGTAACTCACCTAGGTAATGAGTAATATCAATTAGTAAATTGAAACTGCTTCGGTGTAATTACTAATTGCTAATTACTGTTGATGTGAAAACTTTCAATTTTTGTTCTATAGATTGTTGAGTTATATTATTGTCTTTGAAATAATTTATTTCACCAGTCATTGATGAAGAATTTTATCATCCCAATAGTAGTACAGGTCTTTCATTACGATGGGTATCATTTCAGATTGATTGGGATGAGAGTGAACCAGATATATGATATAGATCACAAAACTTATTTGATTCGACTGCAAAGGAGTGAGGAGAAAGCTGTGCTTCTGCTGGAATCTGGAAACAGAATACACACGACTGCCTTCGAATGGCCAAAAAATACTGCACCCTCTGGGTTCTCCATGAAGGTCACTAGAATATTTTGAAATTTATGCTGATTCTTTATACCACGGATAAACTTAGAAGAAGTATTAATTCGAAGATAATTTTTCTTTTCAATAACTTTAGTCCCACTCCTTCAAGTTTTAATTGAATTTTTCAATTGAATTCATCAATTGAATTTTCAATTCTCCTTGTCACCTATAAAAATAGATTTTGCAATGATTTTTTCCAATATAGATTATCATGATAATGAATTTTTGGGAACACCTCAAATTTTCTAAATTCTATCACAACTGATTAATAATTCGATTTTAGTCGTTTTTACAGTAGTCATTACATATTTTTGAGTAATTATTTTTCAAGGGTCATTGGCTGCCTCATCGGGAAAGCAATACCTAATTTCATTTTCTCCTGTATATATCTCCCTTCCCATTTTTCGGTCCGATGAAGAATCAACTTGAAAAGAATCCACACCATAAATCCTTTCTCCCCTTCTCAGGAAGAATTCATGAGTTGGATATCTCTACGACGTTTCTTATTTTTACAAAAATAGTACAAGTGTCCGAATTTCCATTTTATTGACTGATTATTCAATTTTTTTTAATAGTTAGAATATAATATGGCAACCTTGCAACAAAAAAGTGTCAAACAAATTTATGTTAAATCGTTTCCGTCAGAGACGATAGGAAACGCTCCAGGAGTTTATTTCTCTGTTTTATTGGATTCTAGATGCGAAAGCATTTAAAAAATAAGCGACTGGAGGTCCTCCAGCAAGTGGGCACAGACCGAATCCTGGACCTGCAGTTCGGCTCCGGAGAGGCGGCGTACCACATAATCCTGGAGCTGTACGACCGTGGTAATATCGTCCTGACAGATCACGAGCTGACGACCCTGAACATCCTGCGACCCCACACCGAGGCGGACAAGATCCGCTTCGCTGTTCGACAAAAGTATCCCCTACACATAGCACACACGACAACAATGCCAGAGACCCCAATCATACACGACAGACTTTCCACTGCGAAACCTGGGGATCCCCTGAAGAAGGTTCTGAATCCCCTGGTGCAGTTCGGCTCGGCCCTGATCAATCACGTCCTCCTGCAGTCAGGATTCGAGTTCAACTGCAAAATCGGAAAAAATTTCTCCCTCGAAAAGGACTTTGATCGAGTGATGGAGGCGCTGAAATTGGCTGACGAAATTCTCTCGTCAGCCCGAAAATCTCCCTCGAAGGGGTTTATAATCCAAAAGAAGGAGTCGAAGCCTTTGCAAGAGGGAAATGAAGACTTCATGATGACAAATATTGATTTCCATCCTCTGCTCTTCAATCAGTACAAAAATCAGCATTTCAAAGAATTCGAGTCATTTGATTCGGCAGTGGATGAGTATTTTTCCAGGATGGAGGGCCAGAAGTTGGACCTCAAGGCTCTCCAGCAGGAGAGGGATGTCATGAAGAAGCTGGAGAACGTGAGGAAAGATCACGATCAGCGTCTGGTGGGTCTGGAGAAGACACAGGAGATTGACAAGCAGAAGGCCGAGCTGATTACGAGAAATCAGGGCCTGGTGGACAATGCCATTCTGGCGATCCAGAGTGCCCTGGCTAATCAGATGTCCTGGCCGGACATTCAGACACTTTTGAATGAGGCGCAGAGCAGGGGTGATCCTGTGGCATCAGCTATAAAAAATCTGAAACTAGAGACCAATCATATATCGTTGAATTTGAGTGATCCTTACGACGATTCCGACGAGGAAGAGCTCAAACCCATGATCGTAGACATTGATCTGGCACAATCAGCGTTTGGTAATGCGACGAGGTACTATAATATGAAGCGATCGGCTGCTAAGAAGCAGCAAAAGACGATTGAGTCACAGGGGAAGGCCTTCAAGTCTGCTGAGAGGAAGACCAAGCAGACTCTCAAGGAGGTCCAGGTGATACACAGTATCAACAAAGCGAGGAAGGTGTATTGGTTCGAGAAATTCTTCTGGTTCATCACGTCGGAGAACTACCTGGTGATTGGTGGAAGGGACCAGCAGCAGAATGAGCTGATTGTCAAGCGTTATCTGCGACCTGGAGACCTATACGTGCACGCGGACCTGTCAGGTGCCAGTTCTGTGGTGATAAAGAATCCATCGGGAGAGGTAGTCCCTCCGAAGAGCCTGGCCGAGGCTGGGACGATGGCTGTGGCTTACAGCATCGCCTGGGAGGCGAAGGTCGTCGCTGGCGCCTGGTGGGTCCATCACGATCAGGTCTCCAAGACAGCACCCACTGGGGAGTACCTGACCACTGGATCCTTCATGATTCGTGGCAAGAAGAACTATCTGCCCCCTTGTCAATTGGTCATGGGTTTTGGTTTCTTGTTTAGGCTTGAGGAGAGCTCTGTCGAGAGGCACAAGGGCGAGAGGAGGGTGAAGACCGTTGAGGAGGATCCCCTGGTCGTCGAGGAGGACAAGGAGATCGCCCTTGAGGACTCCGAGGATGAGCAGCCACTGGGCGACATCAAGGAGGAGAATATCGAGGGCTCTAGTGAAGATGAGCGATCAGTTTTCCCTGATACTCAGATCAAGCTTGACCTTTCAGGACCCAATGTCAAATTTATTATCGATAATAAGAGGCCCCTGGATGAGCAGGACGATCCTCAGGAGGTTTACCTGGGTGATAACATACCTGTCAAAGTGCAATCGCGAAGAACTTCCACACAAGAAAAGCCAGCCCGAAGCCTACAGGAGAAAGCAGAGAGTGGAAAGCAGAAAGAAACGAGTGGATTGAAGAGGGGCCAAAAGGGTAGGCTGAAGAAGATGAAGGAGAGATACAAGGATCAGGACGAGGAGGACAGAAAACTCCTGATGGAAGTGCTCAAGCCAGACGGAGCAGCTAAAGAAGACAAACGAAAGAAAAATAAAAACTCCCAAGGGCAGAAGCTCCAGCAGAAGAAAAAGGGACCTGGACCACCCCCAGGCCAGCCGAATCCCCAGAACATCGACAACGACGACGAGGACGTTGGACCTGCCCCTGCAGTCGACATGCTCGATCAATTAACAGGAAAACCCATCGATGAAGACGAATTACTATTTGCTGTACCTGTCATTGCGCCTTATGGCACTCTCCAGAGTTACAAATTCAAGGTGAAATTGATGCCTGGCACTGGAAGAAGGGGTAAAGCTGCTAAAACAGCGATTTCTGTGTTTTTAAGGGATAAAACTATTACTACTAGGGAGAAAGATCTTCTCAAAGCTGTCAAGGAAGAAACTATCGCTAGAAATATCCCCGGGAAAGTGAAAATCAGCGCACCGCAGATCCAGAAGCACAAGAAATAGAATTATTACAAAGATAATGTTTTATTTTGGCTTTATCAATACAAAATTGTTAGACACGTTCTCATTATTGTAAATACTGCTCAACAGTTGTTTCAATGAATAAATGGGTCTCATTCTGGATTTGCTGAGGATTTTATAACAATTATCAAGTTTGATTCAGTAATTCAGTGGTAAAGTATACACCGGTTCAGTTTTTATATTTTACAATTCTTCCATCATTCAATCATTGGGAGAGACAAGTTTGGTTAAAACTTCAATCTCTACCACTGCATTAATGAATTAGCGATCAGATTCAATAAATTCGATAGATTCTCGGTTTTTTTTTTGGCAATTTCAGATCGTTGCAGGTCATCATTTCCACAATTTCCACCCTACAAATTTTGACTAAACTCAACGATATTATTTATAAGCTACAGTAGAAAATGGTCTCAATTAATCATCAAACATATCAGCATCGGAGTCAATCTCTTCTGGTTTTTTACGTACTACCCTTCTGGGCGCTTGTCGTGACTTTGTTCCCTTTGGCATTACCTGAGAGCAAAGACGAACTATTAATATCGATAGACATAATGTTGTCGCTTTAAATGAATTAAAAGCCTGAATAATTCGATTTTTTTCCCGATGCATTTCTCGGAAATTTCTATGAATATTAGATTGCTAAGTGAATGAGATAATTACCTCGGGCTCAGACTGGGAATCATCTTTATTCACCACCTTCTTCCTCCCCCTCCTGCTCTTCTTCTCCACCTCCACCTGTTCCTCCACCGTCTTCACCTTTCTTTTCTTAGTGATGACGATTCCATACTCCGTGTCAGAGTCATCCTCAATTGACTCAAGGATCTTCTTCATGTCCTTGAGTTTCTCTCGCCTTCTGTCGACAACAATTCCCACACAGCTTTCATCGAGAGAGCTGGGAGTACTGGGCACCCTGGAGGGCTTCACACGAGGACTCATCCTCCTGACAGTATCTTCACTGACTTTTTTCACCCTCTTGGGCGTTTCAGTCTTGACTTTAGCCGTACCAGCAGCTACAGCCTTTCCCCCAAACTCCAGACTCCCATCGGGTTTGTGGCCAAGTTTCTTAAGTCCTTCGACGAAGATCTGTCTGAATTTCAAGTAATTGGGAGTGTCTGTGAACTTCATCTCTGATAATAGACTCATGAAGTCTTTGACAGGTTCCGGACACTTTTCAGGCCTGAAACACTCCTTGAGGAAAGTAACGATGTCCTCGAAGGCCTTTTCCTTCATCCTCTGGACTCCAGTCACGTCTTTCAGGCTTTTTTCCCAGGGAAGACTGCCACTGATCCACTGAATAATATTGAACCCTAGGATCTCCAGGTCTCCTCTCATCGTGGGGACTCCCATGTGTGCATCTCTACTTGTGTATTCAATTGTTCCATTGTGCGCCTTTTTTGGGTCCAGTTTGTAGTCGGGTTTCGTGGTGTAGTGCGAGGCCAGACCGAAGTCCACTAGGTACACCTGATTTGTAATCTTCAGGTCTAACAACAAATTGGCACCTTTTATGTCTGCGTGGACGTATGTCCTGTTGTGGATGTACTCGAGCACGTCGATTATTTGGATCGCTAATTTGTAGACTGTGACCTCGGGGAACCGACGGTTATTCTCCAGGAAGAGCTTCCACAGGTCTGTACCGTACCTCTCCATCACGACAAACCTGAGGAATTTTTCATTGTTTTATTTCAGTACAATACGAAACAACAAAGGGATTGAGTGCAAAAATGTAAAATTTATGGAACTCTGTAAAACTACTACTTTTTTCACATAATTTTTTTTTACCTGTACTTCGTTCCCTTGTACTCATGACTGCCATTAGCAATGAACTTTGGCATTCCCAGGCTGGACAGCTTCTTTTTTTTCCTCCAGGTCTCGATGTCATCAGGTTTAGCATTCCTCATGTAGAAGTGCATCTCGACAAATAGAGGACCATTCCCATGAGGTTCGATCTTGACGACCAGGGGATATTCCAGGGGTGTCTTTCCATTGTGAGCAGCTGCTGAATAAATCTCACCGAATCCTCCAACACCGATTGACTTACCTATGATCCACTGCTTTTTACTCAGATCTGTGAGAACTTCACCGGGGGCAATTGGTTCTGGCAATTTGTAGCCGTTGGCTTTTTTGGCGGGACGCCTGCCTTTTGCCGCCATCACTCGAGGTTATGACAGTTGATGTACACGAGATCTCGATAATTCCTCCTCGAGTCTAATGAGGACTCAACCTTTTGGAGTCAATTTTTAATTATTTCACAGGAACTCCAACGGAAGATCAACATCCGTGGAATCAGATAATTGTAAATAAATAAAATTATGTTTTTTTGTGATGGAGTGATGCCGTGTTTTGGTCGAAAAATTCAAACAAACTGGTTTAGAGTTTTCCCGGGGCAATGCAAAGAGGATTGACTGAAGTAGAGCCTCAGTTCTGGGGGTTTGAGTGACCCCAGCGGCATCGTAGTAGTATACCCCAAGAGAAGGAGGGCGCAACACACAATGCTGGGGTGTCCATCAAGTCGACGGGATGAATTTTATTTTCTGCTGTATGAATGCTTTTTGTTTTTTATTTGTTTAACTGAAAACCTTGATCAAATCCAATTAACCCTTAACCAGATCCAATTAACACCCCAGCATTGTGTGTTGAAACAGAACTGAGGCACTACTTCAGTCATCTTCTTTGGGGCTATGTCTCCTGTCTGGAGGAAAGGCCCAGTGTCACTAAGCGCGCTCCAAATTTTGCCGCCAATTTTCAAGGCGAAGGGGGAGTTGTTTATGTTTTTTAGTGTATTGTTTAGTGCGGGAAGTGAGTGGTGCTTAGGCACAGGGGAAATGAGGGTTAATTTCGGATTATAGTGAATAGAATTTAAGAAATTTTGTGGTTAATTGAGAGTTACGGGATCTCGAGGACATTACATTAGCCAATACTTTAGTTGTCAATCTTCAAATTCATAATTTTGCTAATGAATTTATTAGAATTGAGGTGACGATGATTTTTCTATGAAAATTGTGTGACATTCAGTGATGAAGGTCCTGCCTGAAGATTCGAGGCATTTGGCAATTCCAGGTAATTTTTACAATTTAGTCATTTTATTTCTTTTATTTAATTTATTCCGAGAGGCTGGGACATAATTAGACTTTTTTAATGGAGAATACTTAAGAATTTGAAGGTGCGTTTGAAACCTCGAAAACTACTGAACAATTGATTTAATTCCTCCCGTTTCCTTCATCCGACGTTTTTCATTCCTTCAATATTTGTTTTAACCTTTAAGCTGCCACAAAACCCTCAAAAATGGAAACCTCAGATATTAGGGCATTTTCAGAAAACCCTCCCGTGCCCTTCTCCCTCTTCGCTCATTTTTCACAAAACCATTTGAATTAAAAATGTTCCTACTCCACCCCGTGGTCCCCTTGAAAAATAAAAAACCGAGACCCATCCAGTCGTGGATCCCATTCTTCAATTTTTAAAGGCCCCTCGGGCCTTTTAAAAACGTTCAAAACCGCTGGAATATTTCTGGTGGGGGGGCACCGCCCCCCTACAGCTGTTCGACTGCTGTTCCCGCCAGTCCCAAATGGGAAAATCCCCTGGCAATTGCAAACACGTTCCAACACGTCTCCACAGTTCCACAGCTATCTGTATATAAACCCAGTGCCTGATAAATCAGCTCCGAAAATCCGTGAAGAATTCCCATCAAAATGTGAAAATCAGTGCAAAGTGTTGACAGACTCTCTACCAAAATCTCCACAAAACCCACCCAAAACAATTTCCTAAAATTGTCAATCCTCACTAAGAACTTCAGATGGACAAGGGAGACTTATCCTCCTCAGGAGCCGACAGTGGAATAGCAAATGGTACATCATCAGCCCTGACAAGTGGTTCAGCCCTAAGTGAGTCGAACAATGACTCGTCCAATTACTCAATGCGTACACCAATCTCAGAAAATCGACCCATTAACAACTCCATCTTCAACACCATCTCCAAATTGGTAAATCCCTCGACGAAGGTTCCTGAGATCGACGACTTCAAGATCGTCAAGCCAATAAGTCGAGGTGCTTTTGGAAAGGTCTTCTTGGGGTACAAGAAGACGAATCCCGAGCAGATCTACGCGATAAAAGTAATGAAGAAAAATGAGATGATTCACAAGAATATGGCCTCGCAGGTGGTTATCGAGAGAAATGCCCTAGCCTTGACGAGGAGCCCGTACTGTGTGCAATTGTTCTACTCATTGCAGTCAGTGAGTTCTATTTATTTGGTGATGGAGTACATGGTTGGTGGGGATTTAAAGTCCCTCCTTGGGTACTTTGGGTACATGGAGGAGTCAATGGCCTTGTTTTACGCTGCAGAAGTCTGCCTAGCTCTGGAGTACCTCCACTCCCACGGAATTGTCCACAGGGACTTGAAACCGGATAACATGCTCTTGTCCCGTGAGGGGCATATCAAGCTCACCGATTTTGGGCTCAGCAAAATCTCAACTCTTCATAGAGACCTAGAGATCTCCGATCTTGTTAATTGCACTCCAAGTCTTCTGGCAAGAACACCTGGACAGCTGCTCTCCCTCACCTCTCACCTGTCCTTCGGATCTGCTGGAAAGTCTCTTGACTCCAATCTCGATACCAGTGATGACAGTGTTCCTGCTATTAATCTGTTGCCTGCTCTTCAGGAACGGAGGAACTGTCTTTCGTCGAATTCTTTGGCCTCGTCCACAGCATCTGGCGATTACTCCAAATTGTCTGGAGTCACTCCCTTCCAGTCTGCTGAAGATCTTCATTTTTCGGATGCTGAGGATCTTCAGGAAGTGGACACTGTGTTCGAGGAAGAGGAAAACAGCACTGGGAGCTATCATACGTGTGAGGCGTCCTCTATCAAACAGATCAGTGGACTCTCTGAGAAAGGAGAGGAGGAGGATGAGTCGACTATTGAGGCTGAGAGCTCTAATCATGCTCTTCATCATCACAGCCCACTCAGCACTGGAAAGAATTCTTTTACCAGGGGGACCAAACGAAAAAGAATGGCCATGTCCACTGGAACCACTGGCCTCACCAGGGAAATTCTACTCATGGAACTCGATGAGGATACCACTCCCAAGAGAAAAAACAGGTTTGTTAAAGTGGTTGTTATTTTTATAGCTAATTTCCTTTCCTATGTTTTTCTCCCTGAATTTTCTCTCATTTCTTCCAATAGTTTTTCGGAAATATCACCGAAATGAAAAGAGATAGCAAAATTTACGAGAAGACTTTTTTTTCGGAGCGAATAGAGAACTAGTAGAAAGGTCTTTACAAAAATTTTTCTGTCTCGCCTATTTTCTAAGATATTTCCGAAAAACCTACCGGAGTGTCTTTCGTGGTTCTACCACTTGACTGAAAGAAAAATTCGACTTGTCGTCTTTTGCAACTGAATTATACTGAACTCTGGCCTCAATTAGAGGCACGATATTCATAACCAGGAGTCCTTCGCGGTCGTACACGAAGCCAGAAGACCCACAGGAGGAGAGAAAAACTCAGGAATCAGGATCAGGGGGAAGAGTGGCATTCAGTACTCCAGTCTCATCCCTGAAAAATCGAAACCGAGAAGATGGAAAGCAGATCGAGGGAAAGGTACAACCAGTGAAGAGCACAAGGTTCGACCTGCCCCCACCAGCAGTGACACCAAATCCTCCAGGCCTTCATCAGGACTCCAGTACAGAGGAGCACAGGTCCCCCCAGGGGATCTCCCCAATAAAAACTCCAGCGACATCAGGCAATAATTTTACACCCTTCCGGACCCCAAAGAGTGTAAGAAGGGGAGTCCAGGGAACTCTTAACAGATCAGACGACAGGATCCTTGGGACACCTGATTATCTGGCTCCTGAGCTGCTCCTTAAACAGGGACATGGGCCAGCTGTTGACTGGTGGGCCCTTGGGGTCTGTCTTTATGAGTTTTGCACTGGGTTGCCTCCCTTCAACGATGAAACACCTCAGGCTGTCTTCGCCAATATTCTCGCTAGGGATGTGCCCTGGCCTGAGGAGGAGGAAGTACTCTCTGAGGAGTGTGTCAAGGTCATAGATGCGTTGTTGACTCTTGATCATAACCTCAGACCTTCTGCCAAAGAAGTCATGGCCATGGATTTCTTCAAGAATTTCCCCTGGGATCAACCTGCCAAGGCCACTCCACCATTCATACCTCAGCCTGATGATAATTATGATACCTGCTATTTTCAAGGTATTATTTTGTTGGAAAAACTCATTGAATAGCTAGTCAAACTTATGACTAGATAAATCGTTAAGCGTGTAATAACACGATTTGTTGAATCGAGTCTTGCGAAATTGTATTCTTGGGAAAATATAATTTTCAACGTTCGTATGATGATGGTGATGGTATTGACGAAGTTGATCATTAAAAAAAGGTCTTGCATTTTATGGGTTAAAAAGTTATACACGACAATTATTTAAAAATCATAAATTTTTCGAAATGTAGGAGCTGAGAATCCAAAAGAGAAAAATTATAGTTTCGTTTTGCGCATTTATTGAAACAGTTGAATTAATTTTTTACAACTAAATAATTTATACCTGACGATTTGTCTAAGGATTTGTTCATCTTTATTTTTTTTTTCCTAAAAAGAACATTCCAATTTATTAATTTTCGTTTATATACCGTATATTTATATTTTTTCTTTCATAATTTTTTATCATTTCAGCTCGAAACATTCTTCAACACCTGAACGTCAGCAGCTGCGAGAATTAATTCACCTCGTCATTATTAAATCGAATGAAAACTGATATCCTCATGTAAATATTGATCTACTTGTAATATATAATTAGTGTAGCTGCAATCATAACGATAATTTTGTACAATTTTCAATTCCCCAGTGTTTCATATTTTTCGTTATTGATTGTTGCAACATCTAATAGAACTATTTATCTTTGTCATACAAAGAAATCTGGAGAATCTAGTTAATGAATGTGATTTTTATTAATAAATGAGCAACAATTATTTTATTTTCACCTGGAGCCTCGATTCTCACCGTTGATGGGAGTGACATTACTACGAGATAATAAAGGAGGAATTGTTGGAGGTGGGATGATAAATTATTTAAGATTTTTATATATCCAGGGAAGGAAGTGGGTGACTCTCGTGTAGACACCTGGATACTGCCCTTTACCACATCCAATTCCCCAACTGACGATTCCTACTTGCGTCCATCTGCCATCGTTCACCATTAATGGTCCCCCAGAGTCTCCCTGGTGAGGAATTAAATATTAAACAATTGAGTACTTGCTTTTTTCCAAAATGAGCTATATTATTGTTACTCTCAATTTTGTCCAGAGCGACTGCACTAATCGTTCTAATCTGTCGATTTTTCAATTTCTCTCAAGAATATTCTGAGGTCATTGTAATTATTATTTTTGTTTTCTATTCTTTCTTAAATGCCATAAACTGATACATTTTAATTGATTCAGTTATTGAATATTACGGAATATCACTAAATATTATTGAAGTTATACTAATTAATTCATCTTACATTGTTAAAAATTTCTTTGAATTTCAATTACAAAGTCATTTAAATTTTTATTTATATGCCCTGGAATTTAATTTCAATTAAAAATGGTTCCTAATTTGTCCATTTATCTTAAAAATCCCAGAAATTTGCCCTTTTCATGTTGAATAATAATTGTTGTTTGAATAAAAGCTTGAATTGTCATGCTAATTAAAATACGACAGTGTAGCTGTTGGAAAAGAAATTAGTTGACGGAAAAAAACTCTGAATTGCGGACTTGATATTGGCGTTCCCCACAGTAGAACTGAATGGAAAAGTAAATAAAAAAAATTAAAGTTTTTCATACCGAGCAAGAGTCCTTCGCTGCTCTTCCAGCGCATAGAAAGCTGTCAACGATGCCTCCAGGAGCAGCAGCTCCATATTTCTGTTTGCATTCGCTATTAGGCCAAACCGGAATGGCCACTTCCTGAAGAACTGCTGGCTGGGGCCCACCTAAAAATCCATGAATGCTCATAAGGTTAATTCATTAATCCCCACCTCCTCCAATCGATAATTTGCCAGAAAAATTTCGTTAATAAAGTTAATTTCTAATTAATAATTTAAAATTCACTCAATTAATCTAATAATTATGATATTATTATCATTCAACAATCAATGAAATATATGAACTATTAATTAATTTGGTGAATTAATTGAGGAATCATTTTTGATGTGCGCCATTATTTAAAAATACATAAATGTAAATTGAATGAAATCAAATGATCATCAGTCACTTTATTCAGATGTGCTCGAAATCATCATCATTGGAGAAAGAGGTATTTCACTCACTCTCTCTGAGGGAGCCCCATCCGATGACTGTTGCCGTTTTACCCACGTACAGCTGAGAGCCTCCAGGAAGGCAAATCGGTCGAATCATCTCTGAGAACTCAATGGGTTCATTGAGAGTCAGAATTGCTACATCATTGTACAGAGTCCTGGGGTCGAATCCTTTGTGTCTGACAACCCTCTTGACTCGTCTCTCTACGTGCTGAATTTCCGTGCTAGTCTTGATGTTGTAGTCACCGAGGCGAACTGTCAGCCTTGCAACGTCCCAGGAATTCATGCTGCAATCAGGGAAGAATCTTGATAAAATTGAGGCTGAAAAATCTGCGGGATTTTATGAGAGCTGCAGGTGTGGCGATCGCTCTCATTTATTGTTAATTAATTTATATTGTTTATGGAATTTATTGCATTGAGCTATAAAAAATCGATAGTCTGGATAAAAATCGCTTACTGAGCGACGCAATGAGCTGCTGTGAGAATGTGTTTATCATCAATGAGAGATCCTCCGCAGACCTGTCTTCCAGCGTTGAAGAGAGCAGCAATCCAAGGCCATTCACCAGGATCAGCATTTTGTCCACCTACAATTCTGTCCTGATCCTGTTTTCCATTTTTTGCTCCACATTCTGATGAACTTAGCATCATGGAAGTTGTGGTGAGGGGCTTTGGAGTGGATGCTCCTGGCCACCAGGCCGGTTTTTTCGTTGGCCAGGTTGTGGCTGAGGGTTTTCTGGATGTCGTCACCAACACTGGACGAGATGTGATGACTCCTGGTGATGAAAGTGTCGGATGGGTGGGCAGGGGGGGTATCGTGTGGTGAGGAGGATGGGTGGGAACAGGTGGTGGCCAACTTGCTGGTGAATCTTTTTTGTTATTGCTGTCCTCGACATCCTGAAAATACACAGCGAAATCTTGGATTCAATACCGCTGAATTTATAATTCATTCATTTCTGAGTACAAGCTTTCAGAAATTTTAAGGGAAAATAGTAAGTTTCATTGGCTTTTTTGTGGCCTCATAAAAATTAAACCTTCACGAATTTTTCATTTTGCAGGAGAAATAAGTCGAGAATTTTCTCCGAGATTTTATTTGCTCGGGTAAAATTACGTGACAATTTCGTTTTCTTTTCAGTGATCAACTTGATAAATTACTCAGCCTTTCAGATTTATTTTCTTCTGTTCCTACAAATTAAGGCGAAAACGATTCTCTTTTTTGGATTACGCCAACTGTTCCGTAATTTTTACCGATTTTTCCCTCTCAAATATTATGACACAATAATTGCTGATTTGTAGAATTTCCATGTGATTCCAAGCGATTCCACGGAATATTTGATTTAAAATGATCTCCAATGATTTCAAGTGATTTTCCATAATCTCACATGATTTCAGGACTGATTCCATGATTTCAATTCAGAAAGTTATTTGCCAGTTATTTCAGTAGAATGAATGCATTTGTACTAAATATTTCCCTCAGTGCAGAGAAGATCGTGATGACCAACCTGTGGTTCCTCGACGATGGGTCCACCTTGTGCCACAGGTTTTGGCAAGGTCAGTGGACCTCCACCACAACACACTCCAAAGCCTATGCGTCCGTCCTCACGTGTATAACTGCACGTGTCATAAACCCCGAGGACCCACCCATCCAGCGACCCTAGATTGGGTATCTTGAAGTAAGGATAGCACTCCTTGAACGTGGTGCAACGACCGACTTCACCCTGCAACATCAGACACGTGCCCCCAGGTGCCGATTTCTGGGTCCAGTCGATATTTCTACCCGATGCTGTTCGCTCTTGTACAGGAAACTCTGGAGCTAACAATATTATCTCATATCATTTCTTCCATTCTCCTTATTTTTTTAAAGGAAAGAGAAGATGCAAAATCTACTAGGGGAGAAATATTCAATGAGAATGATGTGACAGGTCCGTAATCTGCGAGTGAAGACAAAATAAAAATGAATTTTTAGAAATCGAAATTTAAATTACTTCACGAGATAATGTTCACTGAGTTTTATTTGCACTCAAAGATTACGAAACTGTCACGCAATTATTTATTTTTTCTGGATTCGTAATTTTTTAAATTGTAATTCTCATTGAATATTCTCTGAATGACTAATTCGAATCGATATTGTTATGAACATGTAGTTTAATTTATGGAATAATTACTAATTATTGCTGAATGGATTGAAAAATTGATGAAGGAGTCTCGGTAGTCTGAAGGAATTCCACAAGAGCTCGCCATCGCTAAATAACTGTTCAACCCGCACGATTACGTGCGAATATTACAGAAAATTATTGTTTCTACAGAATCGGAATTCTCGGAAAACCACGAGTGTCCCATAACAGTCAAGCAATCTGCAATAAAATCGAGAGAGGACAATCCAGCCTCTTCCCCCATGACGGAAGAGATAGACAATCTCTTTAACAGCTTCCTCGAGCATTGAAATCTCCACGAAAAGGCAAATGAATGTGGAAAACTAACGGCCACATCTCTATCTTCAAAATTCCGAAGAAATACTAGACCTCGAATCTCTTCAAAAAATCCAATAGGTATTTTTATCAATTTTCACAATTGTCCCTTTTAAATATTTTCCAAAAACTCCTAGTGTGATACTACAATGCTAAATTACAGAAACTGCTTTTAAAACTTTCTCCTCTTTCTTTTTATTCCAGCTAATTTATGATTCTAATATCACCTCAAGGTTAATCCTCACGTCGACATCAAGTCCCTGATTTAGCATATTTTTTCTGAAGAATCACACAAAAAAAAACTCAAATCAACAAAATAAAAAGTAAAATTTTGATTATGTTATTGATTTTATATTGTTGACATTCCGTATGAATTGACAAATTAGAGAAGTTGACAAACGATTGTTTATTATTTATTTAAAATTCTTGACAAGTTTCAATTTTTTACTTATAGCTTCAGCGAATTGATGTATAAAATTTTCAAGTTTTTCCGCATTGGTGAAAAAAATGCCGAATAAAGAAGCTATTGTTGAACTATTACTAGCTACCATGAAATATTGTCATAAATCAATAGAATCAATTAGATGGACTAAAGGGGCTTGACAAAAAATGCCGTGCCCCTGACTGCTAGAGGAATTCTTAAAAAAATGGGATAGCTTCATTTTGGCGCAGTTGTTCTACTAAAATTACCAGGAATTCCCGAAGAATGTCGTTATTGCGAACGTTGGACTCGTACGCGCTAGAATTTCGTGTGTTGAATACACAATTGATGAGGAGAAAAAAAGCGACTGCGACCTGAGTTGACTACAATGACAAAGAAGAGGAGGTAAAACAAAGAAGACAGCTATCGCCATACCTTCAACAGAAATAGTGTCATCATCCTCTTCGGCGAAACTCCTGTAAGAACACACTAACAGTATCAAAAGACAAAGGAGCTGTCTTGTCACCATTTCGTTGATATCAGCGACAAATTATCAATTGCACAAGTTTCAAATATTAAGACAAAACGGTAATTTTTTGGGGGGTTCCCGGTGCCCTTGTGTTCCTTGTTGTTCGCGGACTAAACCGTCCACCTGACGACCACCGATCTTATAACGGGTTCACCCCTCCCATCTGACCCCCAACAGCTCTTCTTATTCATTCCTCCATTGTCTTCGATGTTATCTTCTTCGAAAATCTCACTCCATTGATGATTTGTCAATTAGGTATTGACAGAATTGGGTTGCATGTCAGTTCTGTCGATCTTTGTCAAATTGTACGACTTCATTAAAATTGAATTGTTTAAAAAATTATACACACTCAATCTCGTTAACAAATATCTTCACATTATTATCTTCATTTTGGACACACTAACGTGCAAAATTTTTTATTTTATATTGTGCATGTTAATTTCTATCTGTGTAAAATTTTAATAATTGGGTACAGATCTTTACTCGAGAAGCTCTTGCGATAATTTGCAAAAAATTTTGTTGAAAATGAATAACAAGGACTATGGAAAATTATTGCGATTATTGCGCGCAGATACTTAGCAAAATACAGAAAAACTTCACATTTTAGAAATAGCATTGCACGGAATATGAATATTACTAAATATGAATATTACTACACGGAATAGTAATGTTAAGGTTTTAATTCGCGAATTTATTTAGCAATGCAATTTTCGTGGGCAATTGTTGGAAAAATCGGACATTCCGATAATTCACGACCCAGAAACGAGATAAAATTATCATAGTAATTTTAAATTAAGATTAATAATTAAAGTTTCATAGAGATAAAATAGAAAGGAATATTAATTATAAATGTACAGCTCCAAAAAGTCCCGATTTGATTGACAAAACGACAAGACTCGATCGGTTGACTCGAAAATCACACGATTACTTCTGGCACAGTAATAATTCAATGAGGAAAAGTATGAGGCATATTTCAAGCAGCCCTAGGAGAATTTCCTTAGATCCTTCATTCATCCTTCATCACCACTGATTCTCCTTGAACATCAACTGACACAAGTCGTCGGCCATGAACTTGTCCTCCAGGAGCGATTGCCCCAAGCTGTCATTACTCCCATGTTATGTTTTTCACTCCAGCACTTAGTCCCATCAAACTGCTCACGCATCCTGACATAATCGTGTTCACGTATCCATTTCTCTATTTTTCCCACATCACCGGAATCCCGGAGGGATATTTTTTTCATCCTCAATCAGACTGTACTACAAATTTAACAGACTGAAAAAGGGAAAAGGTTTCGCATGTTCCACGATCCTCTTTCGGTCTGGATGTCCTCGAGTAGTTTTTTTTTTGTGATTATGCTCTTCGAAGGCAATAGTATCATCACCAGCCTGTCCTGGAGTTCTTGGGGATAATCGATAGAGGGAATGTAAACTCAACTCGTCAAACCGGCCTCTGTCCAATCCTATCTTACCCGAAAATGCAGAATGCCCATTTTTTTTTCATTCAGAAAAAACAAGTGTTATTTAAAGATGCCAAGGGTCTTGACTTGGGAATTTCGAAGGTCTTGTTTTGAGACCTGAGTTTTTTGGGAATTAACACTATTGGGATGTGGGTATAAGTGAATAAATAAATCCGGAAACTCACTGAAACCCTTTAGAAAATATTCTTTATTAACACGAGGAAAGCACGTCTTATCTTGAGGACCGCCGTCCAGCGACTAAAAACTATAATAAAGGGAAAACTCTCCGAGGGAAACGGAAAACAGAAAAAATTGTTTAATGACTCAAAAGAAAGACAGTTTGAGTTTTTTTGAGTCTTAAATTATAGATATTATTTAAAAGGGATTTACCAAGTTTACTAAAAAATAATAAAAAATACGCAGCTTACGATTGCATCTAGTTGACACTCAATCTTCTGGAGAGCAATGGTAACCTGCGTAATTTTTATTATTTTTTTGTAAACTTGGTAGGTCCCTTTTAATATCGCTCTTTAGCGCCCTTCAATAATTTTTCCTATTTTTTTTCATTATTTTTTTATAACCATTCGAGTAGCTCCCGCAACACAAATTTGATCCCAAATTTTAATGTATTTTAGGCTAAAAAGATAAAATTTAAACAAAAGATGACATTCGATAGATAGTCCACCTGGGCCTTAATCCATTAAGTCAAGTTAATAACTGTGAAAATAAAGTAATAAAGTTGGATGTCTTGGAGAATTGCTGCCCTACAATAGAGAGAGGTAAATAGTGATGTTTTGCCCGAAAACGAGGCCAAAACACTGATCAGACTTTGGAGATCATCCCGGCGACTACAAATTCCTTAAAAAATTTTTCTTCCGAGCATGTCAATGAACCAATCAATCACCAAATTCAAGGTGCTCCTGACAAACCAACTAACGGTCCAAAGAACATTAAACTGACCTGATTCCTCCAAATTATCATATTATCCTGTCAATCTCAACATTATATCTCAATGTCTATTTTACACATCCATTGATAATTCCAGCATCATATTTGAATAAGAGATAAACGTCCCTGTTTATATAGTAACCGAGATCAGTTAGACACATTAACGATTCTGCCCTGCATCCCACATAAATTATCACTTTAATGAGCGCTGAGGACGAGAAGCTGAAGGGGAAAAAAAAAACCGATACAGAATGATAATAAAAGTCAGGGGTATCCTTTAATGGTTTTGGCAGGGTTCAAGGTTTGTTTAATGGCGCATAAGAGGTGGAGTAAAAAATACTCTTGAAGAGTGTGACTCAACAGAACTTTTATTGGATTATTAAGTTTGATTTTTCTATTTCCAAATGACGGTTACAAAACATAACCGAGAGTCTACATAAATATAAACAATGATTTCTAGGAAAGAAAACAATAGAGGGGTTTTTTATTGGGTGGGGAATACTCTTTTGGTCTTTGTGGCTAGCTTTCAGTCTCCTGAAGAGATCCGTAGAGTGCAGACGTTTCTTCCTCGCGCCATTTTAAAGAATGAGAAGAATTTTAATTTAATTCACTGCATTGAACATTTATTTATGTCTTCTATTGCTAAGAACTTTTGATCTAGTTTCGGGGGTTGAAAATGCTCCTGTTTTGAAATACTGGATGTTGCCTCAGGGCCAGTGGCCTCTTCAAGGTCGCCAACCCCAGGAATATTCCCTTAATCTAAACACTTCTTTCTTCGTTTTTCACAATTTTAGGTCGCTTTGTTCTTTTTCTACTTGTTGAGCTCTGCTATTTGGCTATTGTCCCAGGTTCGTACGCAAGTTGCATTATTAGGGACTGTCGGAAAAAATGTCGGAAAAAATGTCGGAAAAAATGGAATTTCATGGTTTATTTCATAGTTGAGTATTTTTTTGGTAGGAAAGTGAGACTGAAGGCAAGGTAGGGGTTGAAATGTCATGAAATTTCAGATTTTACTGAAAGTTCAGTTAAATCACTGAATTTTAAACGACGAAAAAATTTTGAAGATGATAATTCTTTTATTTTTTCAATTTATTATCTTATATAATTTCTAGTGAAATCGAAAATTTTATTTACGATTATTTCTATATGCGCCCGAGTCGCATTTGAATTCAAGAATTGATTTACCAGAATTTTCTGGTGTTTTGTTTATTTATATGGAAAAATCGAATGGAAAGTTTTGATGTTAGTAGAATTGTGATTCGATAAACATTTTTGGAATTCGCTGTGGAAAATTTAAAAAATGTACTTTATGGACTAGGCGATTAATATGAGGAGCCATTTGTGGGCCACTCTTCATTTTTTTTCTTTCAAGTTCATATTTATATCAAAAATCGCATTGACTCTATTTTTATGAATTATTTGGGTCTTTTTGTCGTATTATCTTCGGATCTTCGGTTTGTTTGGAGTTTTTTTTTTTTGAGTCGAGGGGAAGTCGTTTTTTCAACCTGTCCACCTCCACTTCGCACATGTCCGCTAATTTCCCGGGGGTCTTCAGGTGGAGATGAATGAATTATATTTTCCTCATACGCAAATTCAGAAAATTCCTCCGCAGACTTCCCTCTTGCTGGCCTTGGGCCTCGAGAAATGTCCGATCGAGAGGAATGACCTGGCGTCGGGTTATTCGACCGATTGTTATCGGAAATATTTTTTTTCAATTGAATTCCGAGTTGTTTCAATTGAATTGCATTTTTTTTTTACAAATGGGTGCGAGCGAAATAGATTGTGATCGTTCAATTTTCTATATCTGCCGACGCAACAATCCAATTTCGATGAATCAGGTCTTATTCTAAAGATTATAAAAAAACCTTGGAAATGAAGGAAACCTCGTTGAATTTCACTCTGTCAAGTTTGCGTAATCGGTAATCAAAGAAGACTAATTCCTCAAGAGCGCGATTTCCCGCAAGCTTTAGTTTTTCCGCGATATCTCGCTACTGATCGAAAACAGCGAATTTTGTGTTGAACCTTTTTCATAGCTCTTTTCAAGAGCTACAAAAAATTTCCCTACGACTCCTTTCTATCTATCTCCGATACGGAGATATGGACCAAAAACTCAACGCTGAAAAACGATTGATCGTGATTATTAAGTGAATGAATAGGAAAATTAATGAATAAGCCCAATATTTTTTATAAAACGTACTAATATAGTATTTTATTGTGGTATTGAACATCGTAATAATATAATATCACCTCTGGCACAATCTCACGATGGCAAGACGTTGCGATAAACAAAAATTCAAAAAAGAAAACATATTCCATCCTGCTATCAACTGTCTCTTTTGTTCAATTTCATTTATCCCAAATATCTCTCACAACTCTCTAGCGATAGTTTCCGCTACAATATATCTTGGGGGTACGCATTGATGAATTACAATGAAAATGAATGATTTCTCTCGTCAAAACTAGATAATAATAATTAATGAAAACAACAGCTCCATTCAAATGGCGAGGGGCCTAAATAGTACTAGTTAAATTATAATAAACCCACTGTGATAAACTGTAATTGTGCAATTAGATGAAGTGTTAAAAAATACTCGAGAGTGACCGACAAGACAATTAAGTACAAAAATCAATTGATCAATCGATTGGTCACCCCAACCGGCAATTAATCAACGTCAATCTTGCATTGAGATCTCCAGACAGTCGCTGCCTTTTCTCAACCACTCTCAAATATTTTTCAACACCGAGATAATGCAATGCGTACATAAGAGATCCGTTGTCATCTACACATCATCAACTATCTAATCAATAATTTTCATCATGTCCCCAAATTGTCATGTACTGCATTATTATTTTCACATTAATTTTTTTTTAAATTACTAATCTCTTTTACAACTTCGCATCAACTCGATCGAGTGACTTTTGACTCATTATCGATAGTCTATAGATTTTTTTCTCCATTAATCCTAAATTATTATTTTTCTTTACTTCCTCTCGCATTCTCTCACGCTCCATGAATTTTCGCATGCACGCACGGGTATTTTATTCCACCGAGAATACAACAGAAATAACAAGTGTACGTGGTGTACGTATTCTAGTCGAATATGTTAAGGCCAGTTTAATTCTCATCATTGTTTCATCGTTAAAACAGAGGTGTATTGGCATTCACTCTCAATTTTTATCATCAATTTCTCCTCTTTGTCTTTGTCGTTGTATTTATTACAAACATACATATATATCATTCATATATAATCTATATATATATATATATAAAATATCTAGCGTAGACTAACCGCTTAAATGTAATTACCTCGACGTCAACAACGTCACGATCTTATTGCCTGATTTTTCATTTTTTTTATCTAGATAAATGGCTAACACATACACGAGTGGCACAGTGAGACACTGGGGAGGAGATTAAGGCAAGATTCGGGCATATGCCATGGCTTTTTACGAATTATCATTAATCGTAGATTTTGGAAGGTGAACGGTAGAGTAAGGTGAGTCAATTTGAAATATCTCTGGGTGTCAGTTAGAGAGGCAGTTTTTTTTTTAGAGTATTTAATGAGCGGTCCTCTCTGATGAGAATTCATTCACCTCCTCTCACCATTTAATGTTTAAAGACTGATTCGTGTCACGTTAACAAAGTATTACAATTAGTTAGATTATCAGTTGATTCTTATCGTATCCTTTCACTATCGAACATGCACAGGCGAGAGACGATGCTATCATGCTGAATGCAGTGTTGCTCTAATTAAAATCGTAAAATAATTCAATTGTTGGCAAAAACAATGGCAATTGTCCATAGAAGAGTCCATAAAAATTATAAATCGACTTTAGTTGATAAAAAAAAACATAACTATTTGAACTTAATTAGACTATTACTCTCATGCACAAACATTTAAACTTTCTCTCAAAAAATCGTGGTAAAGTGTTTTATCGGGTTTTTTATTTGTCGTTATTTTTATGTATTTTTATGTATTTGAAAATTGTTGGGTATAATTTGTTAGAATATCAACGCGAATAAAGCTCAGATTAATTATTAGTGATTCGTATGTATCAAATCTGATAGGAAAACTGAGGCAAATGAATTAGGACATTTTGCCAATACTATTTTTCTTTTCAAACTAATTAAAATTCTCGATATGTCGAGTTGTCAGTCGTCTCGAGTTATGGAGGACGGGAATATTTATATGAAAAATAATTTTGCACCACTTTTCCTCAATTCCTATCTACGATTTCGATTAGTCGTTTTCAACGGCTAACAATCGCATGCCTAAAACGGCACTCAAACCCCTGATTACTATCATTTCCTCTCAATCATTACTATACTCTCAGACAATCCCGTGATAACGCCTATGAAGAAGTTTATTTGAAAATCTGAGTGGTCTCCTCACGAAATTTTCTTAAATTTCTATTGAAACTCTATAAGAATTCTAGATGACTTTATTTATTTGATCATAATATTTTATCGAGAGATTTTTTATAGAACAAAAACCATAAGTTCTGATGTATGTACAGAAATTCGTGGGTGTAAATTTTTCAAGTTTTTTCTCCGCTATATTTCAATTTTTATCTTATAATTAAACTGAAAAAAAAACTTTGAAAATTTATGCCCTAAATTTTAAATAGAAAAATCAACATCTGCAGACGCATTTCTGCAAACAAAAGTCCATTCAAAAACGGATGGAAGAATTGTATAATTATTAATAATAAAAATTGGCGTAAAACACAAATTGAGTATAAAAAATTTGTACAATTATTTGAATGATGATTTACGGAGGTTGAAAAAAATTAAAAATTCTTCATTTTCAAAATAGAATATTGAATTTCGGTTCAATAAATTGTCCCGATGAGTCTTTAGTGATTCTGTCTTAATAAATTGAAAATTGAAGAAGAATAGATCGAGTATTTGAATAGAAAAATTCTAGAGTTCCCACAGAATTCCCTGAAGAAATTTATCAGATATTTCCATATGTAAATTGATATTACACCAAAAAGGAATGCTCAACAGTCAACTATGAAGATAACATACATTCAACAACGAACAAAAACGTTAATCATAACATGATAACCACAAAACTTGATAAGTAGCATAAGTATCTACTCATCGAACTTGGTCAATTGCTACCTGTTCAGATGGCCTGTTTATTTACAAAAAAAAAAAAGAAAAAAAATCCTTCACCATCCCGGAATTCACGTATTCGTCACCTCGTGGATGTGTGGGTTGTGTCCATGAACGTGAACATGGGGATTCCCATGACTAACTGAAATGGGCGATGGGGGCGGTGGCAATTGCGACTGTACCGGTGGTAATTCGATGAGCGTCACATCATACCCCATCGACGTCGACTCGTTGGGATCGTCAGGATCCCCTGGTGATCCTGGATTACTCGGATTCCTATCGTGCTCCTGATTAGGCGAGTGACTCACTTCAAGAAGAAACAGATCCTCATCGACGTAATAACGTATCATATCGTCATCAATTTTCGCTGTAATTCTGAAACATGAAAGCCAGTTTTTGCCTCAACACTTTGACCTCATCGTGGACTAAAACTTTCTACGAGACACACTACATATTCATGAAATTCTATATCTCTAGAGCTCGAGGGACTCGACATCATCGATGCCGAAGTGATCGAAATGAACGTACGTCGAGTTAGCGGATTAATTCTAAATGAGTTATGAAAGATTAGCGGTTAGGGAAAGCACCAGTGGTTAAACGAATATAAATGAGTAGCTGGGGCTGAAGGACCCGTTCATAATAGAATAAGAATGATGATGAAGGATTTGAGGAAAGGCTTGCAAAAGGCGCGAGATTCATTCAATATCACTCAGCCAATATCGAATTGCCGATGAAAAATAGGCGAATAGGTCACATCGTCAAAAGCTATATTTCACTACTATTGGGTACACGAGAGTTTTTAAGAGTATTGAGTTGAGAAAAGAGTGGTGAAAGATAGTGATAGATAAAAAATAAGGAGTACCCCAGGTCCAATATAATGTCACCGTTAATTGTCATGCACTATGGCCGCAGGCTAATGTGCATGCGAGTAAAGATGACACTCTACTAAACTTACCCCTTTGTGTTTTTGCGATAGAGATTATTAATACTCGAGGATGCAATTTTGTACTTTGACTCAATCTGTAAAATAGAAAAAAGTAGAATATTAGAATTTTGACACTTGTTCGTTCATGCACGCGGTTTTCTTTTTTTTTCTTCAATATCTTCTCTAATATTTTTCATCTAATTGAAAATATTAATCGTCCACCCGGTGAGACGAGTGATTATCAATCTACTGGTCAATTGTTGATACTTTTCCACTTTTTTCTCAATACATTTATCCCGACATTAATCAACATTTGGTGATTCAGATTATCTGTACAATTCACCTGCATCAGTCCCTCAGTCGCAACAAATTACATCAGCAATTGCCATTGGCAACTGAGGCCTCATGTTAAGACAAATATGAATAAAAAATAAAAATAAAACAGGGTGTGCAGTCATGCGCATTAATATTAATTAGCCAATGAAAAGAGCTTGGGTGCCACGGTGATTATTAATCATGATAAATGCTCGGTATTTCATGCATTTGATAAGAAATATACCGCTGGGATAAGTAACTCGAACTGAATTAATACTGATACCAGTAAATGTTGTGAATTGGGTGGACTTTCTGTACAATTTGCAATACAATATAATGATATGAAAAAAAAAGGTGAGTGACACAGATGTAGTGCGACAAAAAAAAGAGTCGTAAAAGTTCCAGTTTCACTTTTACGACTTTTCACTATTTGATTATACAAGCAAATTTACATTTTATATTCAACGATTAGTGCTTTTTTTCATCTTAAATGGCAACGTGGTAACTTACCGTTACGGCAACAAGAGAAAATTGAATTTTTTTTTTTTTTCGTATTATCCTCGAGTAAAAAATAAACACCAGGTGAATTTTAACGTTCTTTTAATGATTTTTTTCTTCTGTTCGTTTGAATATAATTATCTCATCAGACAAATGCACTTTTCTCGGTTGCTTAAGTCTCTAGATTTGATAGTAGATGCGAGATGATTCTTGGGTGATGCTTACAGCGTTGAGCAGTCCCTGGACTGTCGGTGGGGCCACGTGCAGGGGTGTGTATACGTCCTCGGATTCCTGTCTGACGTACAGCATAACGCGATCCTCACCGTCCGATGTGCGTAGGTGATTGGTCGGTTGCTGGTGCTGAAGGTGAAGGCGATTTCCTACACCTGATACCAGAGCACCAGCTGTCAGGACCCCCTGGGGAACACTCTGGAGAACAGAGCCCTGGAGCTCTTGGACCTGCATCAGGAGGGAGTCTTTTTTGTCGTGGAGAGTTGTCAGGTTGTCCGGGGGAAAGTGATTGTGGAATTTTAGAGCTGGCAGGCTTGGACGACCACAGCCCGGGTACGGACTACTTGCCCCTGTTTTTATTCCACCACCTTCACCGTTTGACAGCGATGATGTGTCTGTGTCACCACCTCCGTTTCCACCACCGTAGAAACCGGAGAGCTCCATTGTTGAAAACTGCAAGACAATATTATTATTATCATTCACTTCCTTCAAGTTTTTTTAGGGATCTAGACTCTTCACCCGTCAGACGCTTTTCATCTTTTTTCCTCAATGATTTATACGAAAAAATATATTGATCGTGGCCTGCATTATTGTCTAATCATTCGCAAAGTTCTGTCGCTATATCACTATTTTTTTATTATGCTTTCGAATGGAAGCATTGCAGTCGATCAAATTCAAGTTTCACATTTTTTATCGTATATCAATCCAATATAATTCAACACATCCAAAAATTCAATTTTTATATGTGTGTAAGAAATTTTGTAAACTTAATCTTCAATTAGTGATTAGTGATTAGTAATTACATAGTGCGTGCGCAGAGAAGAATACTCGAAAAATTACTGTTTGAAAAGTAAACGTGAGGTGAACGGCGAAATCGGAAAAAGTACTATATGGTATGTCAAATAAGGATCTTAACAATATCTTAATAATACGCCAGGGGTTTGTTATTGTTATTGTGTCGATCGTGCTTATTGCAATACAAATTAAATCAAATTTATTAGAGAAAAGTAAAAATTCATCTTTTGACCTCCATATCGATACATTTTTCCCTATTACTGAATATTTTTTATCCAGTAAAATAAAAAAAAATGAATAAACTCTCGACATGGAGAATTACCCACTGTGACACCTCTCAATTCTCCCGAAAGATTTCTCAATCAATTCCTCTCACTTTCTAATGCCCCATGTCTTTAAAATTCATACCACTCGTCACTCAACAATTTCCACTTATATTACAAAGCCACCATCCACTCTACTATCATTTTATTTTGATTGAATGCATTAATGGATTTATGATCATGTACCTTATCAATCGAATGCTCAGCGGGCGGTGAAAATAGCACTGGGGGCTTATGCAAATCTGCCATCGTATAGAATTCGCTTCGTTCAGTCACCGAGTGGAACATCTCGTCAAGTTTCTTCCTTCCGGTTACCGTCATCTTCCTTTTGGCTGCTCGTCTCTCCTCGTCCCTTGTTTTTCGCTCGGCACCCTAGAAAAACACGTCTCGTTGGTATTTTTATTCTCATTCCAGTGAAAGAGCTTTTTAATTTCAGGATTTAACTATCCTTTTTTTCGTTTTCCTAATTCATCTTCTATCCCCATTTAATTTCGATTTCTGGCTTTATTATTAGTTTCCAGGTGTGAGTCAATTTTTCTGTTTATCTTTTCATGATAAATTGTTAAGAATTTTCAGGTGTTCGTTTATTTTTCGTTAAGATTAAAAATGATCAAAGATGATCAAAGATGATCGAGGAGAAGCAGAATTACCGAATCAAATTTGAAATAAATCATTTATTAAATTGATTTCTTATTTTTATGGCAAATCTTTTTGAATTATTATTATTAACTTATGAATGGACATCCGAAGACTGTCAATGAAACTGAAATAAATTGAACTGTAATGAAGCTAGATGATAACTTATGACTTACCTTATCGCAAAAGACTTTGATTTGACAGTAACCCCTGTGTGAGGGTGCTGTATAGCCATGGTTGTGGGGTGTTGGTGGTTCCTCATACGTGTCAACTTGAATATGAAGGGGCAATCCCTTGACTCCCTTTTGACTCGAGAAATCAGTACTGAGACACTGTACAGCTACATTAATCTGTAGATCAAAACCAATGACAAATAATTAAAAAATTGCAGATGCAATTTATAACCAAATTAACCAAAAATAGATAATGATTTAATTCATGTTAAAAATAAAACGGCTCATTCAAGCTTTCATTACAAATTTATAACTTTTTTTTTAGTTTCTTTGTTATTACTATAAGTAATATTAGGGCAATAATAAGACAAAATTCTATTCGTAAAAATTATGATCACATCTAAAAAGTCATCATTAATTTTTTTACACGCCCTTTTTGTTTAATGTAAATACTTGAAAAGAATTGTAAATAAATTGTTGTAACTTGTTGAATGAATACATGGTTAAATAATCGCTAAATGGTTTTTATTTCAAAAGATCTGTGCAACGAGCTGATTTAAGATATGATTTTACCTTTGCAGATGATTCCAATGGATTCCAATAAACAGCAATGGCATTATGAGCGACTTCCTCGATACACCCAACGAGTCCAACGCTGTTTTTCGTATCTACGGATGAAATAAAAAATGAAAAGGCTATCTCAAGATTGTCTCACAGAGCAGACAGTGCACCAGACGAAAAAAAAAACGAACAAATATGTTAATTAAACTGCCATGTGTTACAGTGAGGCTTACCACAGATATATCCTGTCGTTGGTTAAATGAATATCCGACAGCTTGCGCAAACGATATAAATATTTCTTTTGCAACTTTTTCTTTAGCGTTTCAATGCATTTTTTCTTCTCTCCATTCAATGATTATCATTAAGTGATATTAATTTTTAATGAGTAATAAAAGGAGAGCTCACCTGCATCGAGAATTCGTTGCTTCACCGAGTGCTGTCTGCCGTGCCAGAATTGCCAGGCTTTTATCTCATCCTCGGGGCTCTTCTCCTCGCGAAACATGAGCATTACTACACTCTGCAAATTAAAAAGGGGACTTTAATTAAATGAGTGGGGGAAATACCAACTGATCAAGTGAGTGAGATGAACTTTATGATTTTGAGGGATTGAGCGTCGAGAACAGCCTGCTTTCTCTTATGAAGATAGTTGTATTCAAGGATAATTCCTGAAGGCTGAGGACCAGTTAGATCGTATTTATTATTCAATAATAAGATTCAATACGTATTTTAAATTATTGATGAAGCTCATCCAAAAATTAATCATCGAGTTATCGTTAAATATCGATTGATCAAACAACGTGTCTCAGGAATTATTGAACTATCTGAATTGCAATAAAAAGTATTCAATGCAGTTGAACAGAATTTGTTGCATAATCGAATTCAATAATTCGATTATATAATTGATAATACTAGTGATATTCACAGGGATTAGAGCTTTGAGATCGATCCGTTTGGGACAGCTTTCTCTTGTGAAGCCGCTTATATTCAAGGATAACTCCAGAAGGTTCAAGATGAATTGAATGGCATTGAATACCGAATTAAAAACAATGGAAATTTCCTTTTAAACTATAGATGAAGCAAATCCACCAATCAATTTTCAAGATATCGTTAAAAATCCATTTCCCAAATAACAAATCTCAGAAGTTATTCAATAATGTGAGTTCCGAAGAAAAATCTTGGGAGACAATCTACGGCGATCGGTTGCATAATTGAATTCAATTATACGATGATATAATTGATAAGAGTAATGATATTTACAGGGATTAGAGCTTTGAGATCGATCCGTTTGGAACAGCTTTCTCTTGTGAAGCCGCTTATATTCAAGGATAACTCCAGAAGATTCAAGATGAATTGAATGGCATTCAATACCAAATGGAAAGGGAATGAAACTTTCATTTTAAACTATAGATAAAACAAATCCACCAACTAATTCTCAAGATATGATTCAAAGTCGATTTCCAAAAAAAGCGAAATGTCACGTGAAAGACTGCTCAACACGGTGAGTTGATATAAAAATAATTTAATGAAGTCAAATGAAATTTGTCGCATTACCCAAGCATAAAAAAAAGGGTATCATACAAATGACACGTTCGGAAACGCGCAATAAATCCGTGAAATAACATAATCAGATAAATATGGTCAACATCAGTGCAAATCCTACGAAGCCTTAGCCTGCGCCTGCCCACGACAATTTTTAGTGTTTCGGGTGAATGAACGCTCGATTTATATATAGATTGATCGCGCTTATCATTTTCCCCAGTGATTTGTAAAATAGTTATGCGCCAATGACCATTTCACTTCATTCCTCACATGGACACAGGCGGAGATTTGATATTTAAGTTTTTGTCGCGTGTTAAATTTTCCATAGGTAAATACATAACTGAGATTTGTAGTGTATCAAAAGTATATGATCGGTAATCAAGATGAGGAAATGACTTCTGACTGGTTTTCATACACGTAATAAAAGTAATATCAGCTGCGGGTTCGTGATGTCTATCGGTTGGTGTGTATGAAGTAGATCAGTCTTATCAATAGGACGTGTAATCAATTTAAACTATTTAAAAATCACGTGATTTCTCGAAAGACGAAAAGAATCAGCTTCTGCTATTTTTACCAGAGATAAAACTTGTCGTGGTGAATTTGACGATTTCTACTTTAAGCCTGACTACATAAACGCGTTCTTGTTTTCGATATCTATCGCGAGTCGATTCTATCGACTGGTGGCTTATCAATGGGGGTGCAATGAGTTAAAAGGTAATGAATGGAAACCACGGGCTTTTTTTTAACAGATAAAAAGACATTATTAACGATAAGTCCTCAGGTGTAATAAAACCATAATTTTTACCTTTACGGTCTGGCCGGCCTTGAGTAGAGGTTTATCCGGGTCTGGTACATAATCCAACGTAATTCCATAAAATTGACCTTTATTGATGTACGTTATTCTGTCATCCTCTCGTCTTTGCGATGTGCTGATCGGCGACTCCAAGTGATACTTAAATCCGTACGCAGAGTATCTGTGGGCAAAGTTATTGGGTAATTCTACATTTTCGGTGGCTATTTCTTTCAGCTTACTATTATTACGATTTCACTCGACTGCAATTACTTATTCACTCATTACAGTTAGTCGAGCTTAATGAGTTAGAGACTCAATGTGTGCGGGAAAAATCACGAAATGATCGAGAACTGGAAATTTTCTCCAACAATTAGTCAATACCAAATTTTTAAAGAATTGTTTTAGCCGGAAAATTGATTTCTGGTTGGAGACATTTTATTTGTTTATTCATGACAATCAGGTAGTGATGACTCTCAATATTCATGGTTTGTTTTGACATTCTCTGATGAATTTCATTGGCATTAAAAATGAATGGTTGTTGAAATTTTTTCTGTCAAATTTCGACATTTGTCTTAATATTGAAATTTCGTGGTTGATGATTGAAGATTCACAATTTGATGGAGAAATTGAAACGAAAATTCGGAAATTCAATTGAACTCGCTGTTGAATTTTCACGATGCCATAGGCATAGGAAATTTATGCTTTCCTTGAAAAAGCAATAATCATCTAACATTTTCTTGACTTTTCAAGAGAAATGAAGAAACTCCTATAATTTAATTTTTAAAGGACTTCGTGAAATTTCAATAAATTCTCCACAATGTGGTATAATTAATTAATAAACTAAAGTATCTTAAATTGGTGAGATTGATGAAATATTACTCGACCACTGGCATCTGTTTGGACAACTGCTCTAAAAACAGATAGCGACCTGTCGAGAAGATTGACCGATTGTTTCCACCAATGCAATCATCAAATTGGGAAAATTTCGCACTAGATAAAGTGCACCGAAGGAAAATACTGTGGTCGTTATCAATAGGAAGTCATAGTGAGTATCTGAAAGCCGACGAAGCGTACTACCTATGTCGGCGTCTATTTAAACTATCTCAACCTTCTTTTTAACCGAACCCTACATATCGGTAAAACCGGGACTGTCTCGTGACTTCCATGTTGTACTCCCCGGAATATACTTGAAAAATATTAATGGGTGTTAAGCCGGTAAACTGAATGATACCGATAAGTTCCTACCTGGTGCGATAAGACTGCCCCATGCCCAGTTGAATACCCTGCGTCCACTCATTTCCCACAGACATTATTTTTACCTTCTTCACATTCGTACAGTGTGGACACTTAATAAGCTGCTATTTGCCGTTTTACACGCCAATATAACGGACTGTCCGACCAAGGTACACCCGACCCATGACATTTTCACTGTACGCAACACGCGTCACTTGATTTTCATATCAATTTTCAACTCCTCGCGCCCACTAACTCACGCTAACACTTCATTTATACACCGAGTCCATGATAAATCCACCATTTTACGACATCAACTTGGATTTTTGGGGAGTCTCAAAATGAGACCTTGCCATTTCAATTGGCACTTTTGATAACTTCAGGTTGGGACTTGATGTTTATTTCAATCCACATTTATTGACAGTGAGGTGGCGATTGAGAGAAAATTCAAGTCTCAGACTTTGAGACCTTGGAAAGTTTAGTTAGATTTCTTGGCGAGTCTCGACGTGGGACTTTTAAGACTCGGCTGGATCTTTTGATTTGATCAGGCGTTTCAACAGTGAGTAGATTGCGAGAAAATGCAAGTTTAGGCGGAGAGTATTAGTTGAGATTTTAAAAGGTTTATTTATATTTTCTGAGGAGTTTCAGATTGAGACTTTCCTGGAGTTTTACGTGGAACTTGACGATATCAATTAGAGCCACGGATATCGTGACTTGAGAGATTTATGGTTCAACTTATCAATTATATTTAATTTAAGTTTTGAAAACTGTCTTGAATTTTCATTTGGAGCTTGAAAATATTAATTTGACTCATAAATGGCCAGACTTGAGACCACAATTTGAACGGAAATGATAAATCCTCAATGGACTTACATTTTTGGTATTTGAATTTTATCTGCATCATTCTGCCTGCCAAAATCATGCCAGGGTCGTGATCTTGGTGGTGTTGGTGTTGCACTAGGATTGGGTGTGCCAGCGCCAACGAGACTCCTGGGGACTTGATTCTGCGTGTGGCTCTGCTGAAGTTGCAATTGAAGAGGCTGATGATGAATGACAGCACCACTCTCAAGAACAACAGCTGTACTGCTCGTCGTGCCGCCAGGACAGAGTTCTGTGTAATCGAATGATGACTGCAAGCAGATTAAATCATCTGTAAACTCTTGGTGACCAACGGATAAATGACACGAGATAACTTAACGACTCCTATGAAAAATAGAGAAATAATAATCTACACAAGTACCTGATGGAGGGCCGTTGGTGGATGATGATCCTGTCTCGGTGTGACAGCGTCAGCACCAATTCCAGAATCCGGACTTGGCAGATCTACTGTCAGTACTTTGCTGCTGCTGGATGATGATCTTATCGCGTGCGTCGTAGCGTAAGAGCTGGGGACAACTTCGTACCTCGTGTAGGACGATGTCGTCGTGGGTAATGCTGAAGAGCTTGATGATGCTAGAGGTGGTAGTGTATCTCCCGTTACGTAGACAGCTGCACTCTCCTGGTGGAGGCTACCCTGGGTGCTGCTGCCATTTCCACTCGTTGATGTTGATGTACCGTAGCTTGATTGGAGACGAGGACTGCACGACGAGTACGGGTCGTACGGACTTCCGTATTGCTGAACCTGATCGACATAAGTCTTTAATAAAATTCATTTTTAACCCGTGTGACTGCTGCTCCACTAAATCAAATCCAATCGACTGAAATCCTTCATTTTAATTTTTCATTACCTTCAATCAATCTTTCCATACAATTGATAATTTAGGGCAATAAACGGTTATTTCGTTCTCGTAAATTCTATTTGTAATCAAACGATTTGATCTATTCTGTGCGGAATTTAATTATTAAAAAATATGGAAAATACATTAGGGTTTGCATACTGTTAATCAAGACAGGACGCTATTGCCTCCCGTCATTTTGGACTTTAATCAAGAAAGAAAAGATCAAACGACAATCAATCGCGTGCATAATTGATGAACTATGAATCTGAAACTCTCATGGTTGAATTTGAGATTTATATTGAATTCAATTTAAGTTTCTAGTAGTGAGTAGTTCACGAGAAAATTCAAGTTTAAGCGAAAAGTTTTAGTTGAGACTTGAAAAAGTCTCTAGCTAAGATTTCTCCGAAATTTCACTTGGTAAAATGACTAATCTCGCGCAGACACAATTGGCTTGTAAAAATGATCACGCCGATAGGACAGAGTGCAATGCCAACATTATAAGAGGATTTTTAATGAACCATAAATAAATTACAAAGTTGGTTACAGTAATAATTACAAGGTAATATGGAAAAGCTTATCGTGGTAATATTTACTGGGTCACACGGGAACGATTATTATGTCAGGTTGACGTAGATATTATCTGGGGACTAAAAGAATATCTAGAGCGGAATTACAACAAACAAATGTAATGGAAGTTTTATGCAATTACGGTAATAAAATCACCATACAATATTATGCACGTTTACAAATCGTGTACGACAACTCGAATGCAATCTATTTTAGATTTCATTTCAATATCCGGATTAAATTTGAAACGTAATTTCTGATTTGCGAATTAATTAACACTAATTTAAAAAGAGTGACTGATTTTTCCGTTTTTTTCCATTTTTCGACTTTATTGCAACTTAATATACTTGATTAAGGTACATAATTCGAAGTTGAGTTTTCCGGGTGAAACCCCATAATTTACTAATTTTACATCGTAATTTCCGTTTAGATTTCTAGTGTGAATAATGGTCTAGCACATAGCACATCATTTGAGTGATTTTTAGCTTGAAATACCTGTAGCTGATGCTGATGATGATGGTACATTCCAGGTGGGGTCGGGCTATCCGGTTGTGCCTGTTTGTGTCTTTTACTGGATTGCTGAGCACCACGTGACGAGCTCAAATCCTCAGGTTCTCTCTTGACCCCAGTCAAACCACTGGACCCTGTGCTGCCATCATGACGCAACGATTGTGGACTCAGAGGAAGTGGCAGACTGCCACCATTGCCCTGAAGACTTTGATTTGGACTCGGTGATTGCTGATTGTACTGATGCAGGAAGTGATGAAGCTCACCACTACCTGTTGTCTCACCTCCGGTATTCTCTAGTCGATTTGATGAGCTCTCTTGCACAAGCAGCTTCTGGCCCATTACACCCCTTTTGTGAACATTGTAAAGATTTGAGTGTTAAAAAATATTAACATTCAGTGAAACTCGATGCCACTGTCGAGGCATTGTATCGAGTAGTTAACATGTTAGATTTAGCATTATAATAAAGAATTTGACAATGACGTCTACCCTTATAAACTGCCAACGCTTCTCGAGGTAGGAACGTGATATCCTTTCCTCAAGGACCCCATCCCCGGCGAATACTCCACTCTTTCTCGTCAATTTTTCCATCCAATCTCCCCACCACCGCCGCCTTTTTACATTATTTATTATTTTCTTTTTTATGGGACACAGGTACAGCACCGGCTTCGGTGGATGCACCCCTTGTACCTACGGTCAGATGCTTCGATACAATGGCCCTTTTTTTTTTTTTTTCTTCATCATTCTCTTTTGATACCTGATCTCTACCCTCCTGAGGGGAGACACACGCACTCTCTCACTTGATCATCTCTTTTGGGCACTACCTTCATCTTTGTTTTTATCTAGTCGAGGAATGGAGACGGCCTCATGCAGGGGTTGCGAACGTGGAATAACGTCTCGCTGCCAGATAAATAAGAAAATGCGGGATAAAGGGGCAATCCGGAATTTTTAGACGGACGGGAAAGGAATGTCATAACCTCGGGCTCTTGGCGAAATATATACATGAGGGACTATGAATTCGGCTTATGTGAAATGGATCCCCAGAGTGCTTCGATCCTCGCCGAGAGGTAATGCGATGCTAATCCGACGGCCGCCGAGAGACACCCGAAAGGAGTGCCTTTTTTTTTTTTTTTTGCAATTGAGTTATGGAAAGGCTTCGTGGTAAATGAATTTGGAGGTGGGGGAAATTCCGATGATTTTCCTTTTTTGGAAAATTGCACGATGCACGGAGAGAAAGGTTCGGATAAAATTACGGAACTCGTCGTTCGATTATGGAAGTCATTTGGAATACTTTTTCGCGGTATTTTCTATTGGCTGTTCTAATAGTTTACTGAATGTTTAAAATTTGTAGGAGATTTGTAATTTGTTGATTATAATTGTTGAAGGGATTTGTTGAATTATGAAATGAAGTTTTTAGATTTTTTTTACTGCGATATTGTTTTTAATTGGGAACTAATAAAAATGTGTACATATTTCATTTTTTTAATTTCACAAGTGCAGTAATCTCCGAGATACAAACGGGAGTCTAAAATATCGACTGAAATTTTACAGTTAATCATCGATTTAAAAAATGAATATTCAGCGCAATTCTCATTAATTCCGCAAAATTTATTTTTCATGAATATTCATCCTGCCCAACCAAAAACATTCAAGTACCAATAAAAAAACAATTAAAGCAGTTTGAGGTTCTAAATTTCCACAAATAAAGTGTCAACAAAATTTCGAATAAAATTCCAAATAAATCGCGATTCAATTTCAATTCCACACAGTTCTCTGTCCTACAATATTCCTCCTCCAAAAAATAGCCGGATGCTACGAAAAGAATAAATAAACACCTCCGGGTATCCGTTAAAACTAAAGCTGTGAAATTTTTCCGAGAGTGTCGACTCAAAACGGCTGTTCAATTTATTTTTCCACCGGATCGCAAAATTTCCCTGCTTTCCAATGACACAAATAGCAATATCCAACCTCGTCGTTCTCAAATATCTAAATCAAAGACTAGAAAATTAGAAATTTTCACGAATACATCGATATCCCCAGTGATACGAGCGACTAATTAAGAATACCTGCAAGCGCGAAGACTAATACCCGCTATTTGCCTCATTTAGGACCCCCCGGCGGAATCCATAATTTACACCATTAAAAGAATTTCGAATAACCCAAAAAAAAAAAAAATAAATAAAATTGTCAGCGACTTAGTAGTATAGGACGGGTCATCGGTCGCGGTGGAATATCCGATAAATCACAGGATATTCCGCTAAATATATTCCATAAATTCAAACTGTCCAGCGGTTGCAGCAAGAGATCCTGAGCTGAGGACAACATTGATAATGACCCCTTCTGTTTCGCCCCGTCCCCTCGCATTTTTCAGACGATCGTTTTTTCAACATTATTATTTCCCTCCGAGACCAGGGTTCACGAGGTCGTCGGGACCGTCGATATACAAAATCGTCTGGCTTTCGCGGATTTCTGGAATTCCCGTTGCACCAACCGGAAATCTCATGACGAATCGACTCATGAGTAACGATTTTTCTCTCTCTTTTCTTAATTTTTCATTCGGTAGAATTATCAGGGGATTCACACGAATTTACGTTTGTAATATAAGCACGCATGACGAATGTACCTCCATGATTTTTTCAGTATTCACGCGAAAACTCGAAATACGAGTCCTAGCTGGTTCAAGCACCGGTAATGACACCCATTCGCTCCCACTATTTCTCATTGTCCTTTTTTTTACACTTTATTTCCTCGTTCGGTCACACGTGCCCTTCAACCCTGACACCCTGTGGTGGGTAGCTAGTGTCGTTGGCCGGTTTATTTGTTTTTTTTTCTGTCATTGTTGTTATTATTTTCTCTCTTTTTTTTTCAGGAAAGGTCAGAGCGGGTGGTTGATGAGAATGGCGTGACGTCTCAACCTCTCACGTCGTCAACTCGTCAACTCCAAATGCTCTTGTTTTCACCTCCTACTGTTTTGGATTTAATGGGGACAGGTTAATGTGGGCTGCCATGAGGTGACAACTGAGAAAATTTATTTTATGATCCTAGGAGAAAAAACTGGGAAACTCAATCTCTCACCGATCTATTTCACCGAGATTAGGGTCATAATCTTTAATCGTAGAATCGTATCGCGTCATTTTTTTTTTGCATATTATATTTATATTAATAAATATATATAGACTGGGTACTATATATATGTGGGATGGAGTTACTCAACATTTTTATTCAATTGATATCTGGTTCCTCATGATTTTGATGATACATATAATGTAGAGTATTATATAATACTCATAATATATAATATACTATTAATTTTTATTAATTGCATTACATGAAAAACAATTTTCCACACACGCCGAGAAATGTCCAATAATAATTACGTATATCTTTTAAAGTTATAGCCTTTTTTAGTTTTTCGTAATTATTATCGGAATTTCTGGTGAAAGATTGTGATACTGACGTTTTTATTTTACCAGTTGCTTCCGTAATCGGTGAGTGTATCTTGAGTTTCGTCATTTTTACTGAATATTTCAGGAACTGGTGGAAATTACACTTGACATTTCCTGCGAGGAGAGTTGAAAATTAAATTTTATTAGTGACAGATTGACGAATCTCGATTTCTCTAATATTCCAGTTCTCACCAAAAAAAAACCATCGAAAATTTAATTCACAACTCCTCCAAAAAACCTTAATATATTAATAATTAAATTGCATTAACCATAATAAATCGAAACCCCCAAATTTCCTGAATTTTCCGGATGAATAAAAAACAGATTAAAAACCTCCACACAAACTAGAATATCATCAACATCAATAAAAATTCAAAACAAATCCCATAAAATCAAAATAAAATTTCAACATTCAATATTCAATAATTACAAAATTTCCAAATAAATATAATAACAATAACAATAATAACTTATACCTATAGGCGCAATCAAAATTCGTAATTCATGAATGCAATTTCGTCCACTCCCCCCTCCCCTGACGGTAAAAGAAAATAATTAAAATAAAAATGATTAATAACCGAAGATTGGGAGTCGGAAAAAGCCTCAAAGACAAAATGGCACGATAACTACTTTAACGATAAATAACAATAAACGACAAAACGTGTTGTGATGCCGATCCCTGGATACGTGTCAGGAATAAATTGAATTCTCTCCGTTCCCTCATACATCTTCACCTCCTTTTTATAACAATACATTTTGTCATTCCTGAAGGCAGTTTGGTTTTATGGGATTTGACATGTCGGCACCAAGAGGCCACGAGGGCACGGGAGCAGTTTAAAAGCCGCGCTCCCGCGTTCGCGTTATCGTCAACCTCCGGCTGATCTCGGCGTGACGATAAAGCCCGCCAAAACGAGACTTGTTTAAATCATTACCAATTCTACATAACCACCCTTGTCCCGTCGTTATTTTTTTTTTATGGTTATCATTTCCAAAAAATATGCTGGAACGTGAAAACCAGTTCACCTCGTGGGTTTTGCGGAAGGAATTATCCATTCGGACTCTCTGGGTCTGGACTCTTTCATCATATACGCAGGTTGGAATGCAATATTGGATTTTTATTAAGTTCTCTTACTCTTGGCCTATCCAATACGTAGGCCGTGTCTAGACTGATCTAACCACGCGGATTTGCGATATTGTATACCCACACGTCTCTGGCCAGACGTTATTTTTATTCATTTTACTTTTATCATTTATTTTTTGGATAGACGCTCTTCGAAGTAGTGATAGGTACTTTAAAAAAGTATCACGCAGATTTACTTTGTCTTTGGTGAGGGTCGGGTTGAATGTTAATATTGATGATTAAAAGGTCGAGGTCAGGCTTCGCGGTTTTTTTTTTTTGGAAGTCGAGTTTCACTGTTGGAAAATTATACTTGAAGTTTTGAAGTAAAAAGAGAAAAAAGAGATTTTAGATATTTTTGATAATGACGAAGAGAATTCTTGATGATTCTGGAATTTCTGATTGTGAATCTCATTGATTATGAATTATGAATCTTATGAATCCGCTGACTTATTGGATTTTTTGTTAATTTTTTATTTTAACTTGATTGGAACTTTAATTGTAAATTCAAAATTTTATTGAAGAATGCATTATCATTTAACAAAAGACATTCAATTTTCTAGATTTTTTTAGATGAATGGGAAATTTAGTGGGCGTTTTTTATTGAAATTCAATTCACACTCGTGTAGTTAAAAATTCGGGCGACTTTGTGACTGAAATTTTGAGAGATTTTTAACAGTAAATATTTTTTATGTTCAGCCTGCACGGGGAGGAATAGTGAATGAAAATTGCGGAAGGTGCTGAGAAAAATTCCGTGATAGTTTTCAGAAAGTTAAAAAAACAGAAAAGGTATGTAATTTAGAATGATCTATTTTTATTGAATATTTATCTCTGTGATAAACAAAGACGAAAGGTTATGGAGAGTTCAACAGAATTTATGATGTAAATAGGAAATTTCATATTTCACTGAAAATTTAGTTCAATTCTTGAATTTTAGTTGAATTTCCAAGAGATGAGAGATGAGATCTATTAATTATGGTATTTCATGAAATGTTCAGAGAAATCCAAGGACGAATTTCAGACGAATTCCACAGGAAAGGATTGATATTTGGTGAAAAATATAGAAACTGTCAATTGTGCAAAATTATTTTAGAGGAATATTAAAAATGTTTTGTTTATACTCTCTTGTATGTTTTCCATACGTTGAAAATATATGTGAAGCAAAATTTATATAGATGTTTTACATGTTTCCATGGGCATCCGTCACAACAAAACATTTCCTCTAACTCATCTGACCTTATAGTCAATTTTCCAGTCCATTTATTCGGTTTGCAAACTCGCGTATTTGCGCGCGTCGAGGAAAAAATTGGCACCCCAATTTCTCTGGGCACATCTCCCGTGTATTATTATATATTTTGGGCCTGAATGTTACCTAGAGCATCCGTGGATCCCATCCTGTGTGGACCCCCCCTTTGATTTATATCGGACGTTTAGCATATTTTCTAATTTACTGTTGAGAATCGTCAACGGCAACGAATAACACCCAACCAAAACTACAATATAAAAAAGGATTACTCGCGACTATTGAAAAAAAATACTTTTCAAATGTATGAATAGAAGATTTTTATGCCACCGAATACCTTAACAGGGAGAATATTGAATAGAAATTACGGAAGTCATTTAGAGAATTTAGGTGGAGGTGGCGTAATTTTTACTTCATTTATTTTAGTAAAATTCAGTGATTTTTTTACTGGTTGAGAGATTCAAGTGGATTATGGAAAATAAATCTTTAGTTGATACAGGAAAAGCTAAAGAAAACCCAAAATTTCTTTTGTGGTATGCAATTTGGTTGGAATCCGGAAATTTGGAGATTTGAAAGATAAATGACGAAGTCGAATTTGTAAATAATGAGATTTCAAAAGGCAATTACAAGATTTGAAATCTAAATGATCATTTGTAAGGCGGAAGTTATGAGTGTGAAATAGTATTCAGGGAAATGTGAAATTTCGCCGTTAAAATCAAGAGTTTATTAATAATTGAAACAAACTACAAATTTCGGGAGAATTATTGACTTTTGGAAGTTTTTTTTACTGCGTGTGGTTTTTTTTTCTTGCAATTCTGGAATTTTCCTGAATTTTCAGTCAACCGTAAAATTTCGAAATTTCTTTTCCTTCCAATTTCCTTGGGGATAATAATCGGAATTATAAAACCACAATAATTTTTCAAACTTAAAAAACGTAAATTACTCGGAAATCAGGGGTTTGAAATGATAATTAACTGTTTCAATTTTTTCCCAGTCCCACGCACGGAGAGAAATATTCAATAAAAATTACGGAAATTCAGTTACGACAGTAACTAATAAAAATTACGCAGGCGTATATATTCTCATTTCCAGAAATTTTCCCAGAAAATTCATATAAAAATTGCCAAACGCCATGAAAAAATTCCATTAAATTTTCCGTCGTCACATTTCGATCCGGAATTACAGGAAAAATACATAATTCTCATTGAATATTTTCGTCAGATACTTTAGGGCACCACATATATTACAGAAATATTTTTAAAAAATGAACAAAACATTTCACAATCACATATAATCCAAAGAATCTGGAAAGTACCGTAATTTTTTTGAAAGCTCTAAAATCCAACAGGGATTTAACGAATCATCGTCTTCAACAATATTTACGTAACAAATAAAAATAAAAAATAAATAATCGTTATAAATTTTCGGTGTTTAAAAATTTTTTATTGGACTTTCGTCTCCTCGGAAAAACCATATCCCAGAAAGATTCTCCTCTTGAAAAGTCAACTGACCAAAAGTTCGGTGCAATATTTATTATTTTTGTTTAAAGCGATCCGAATGTTACCTTTTAGCCTGGAGTAACATGTGCCCCATAATCGCACACACTTTCGCAATAACAAAACGCACTTTAGTAACGTCCCGGTGTGATTCACGGTGGTATTCCCCTAATCTTCATCTCTCATCTAACGCAACACATACACAATTATAGTTACTTCTGTCCTCTATCTCGAGTCCTTCTCTCACCCCTTTACCGATAATATCTCGACGATTTGTACGAGCGCGAGATCGTTAAAGCTCGGCCATAGTTTTGTATCTCCTCGAGATGCAACCCTGAATAATGAAATAAGAAGAGCAGAATTAAAATGAGCAGATCGACATCTGCGCACTCAGGCGTGCAATGATTTTAATCCAATTTCATTGTCACCCCTGAGGATGAGAGACCACTATGTTTACAGAATTCAAATTGACGTTTTCCTTAGGACCCAAACAATACATCAAACATGAGATTACTTTTCGTTATTCAGTAAATACTCTGTCTAGTCCACGAAGGTCTTGCAGTTTCCGTTGGAATATTTACGCCAAAGTGATGGAGAAAATACTCGATCACTTGGTGAAGCTCATTAGTTACGACATTAACTAATTTAGAACTCAGTAAAAAGCCACTTTATAGTTGAAGACTAGATGAATTGACATTGGGTAATAGTTCATTTCATGTTCTCTAAATATACAATTGAAATTGTTTACTTGTAAACAATTGTTTATTATTTCGTTGTTTTTTTAGAGGTGACCCCTTCCCCTCCCCCTGCACAAAAAAGTATGTACTGCACAGCGCTTATACCACAAATTAGTATTTTACTTTCTTTTTGTTTTCATTTTCATTTTTCATTGGATTTTATTTTAAATGTGCAATTTACGTTTCGATGACTGACTCTGGGCTTGAGAGACTTCACGTAACTCATTAATTGAAGCATATCATTGTTTCCGCTCGAAATTCCCGTCAGGACGCCCTGTTTTCTGTTTGGGCATGGGAAAATGACGGTTTTCGGAAAATCTCCGCGTCTAATCGTGTGTGACCAAAAAGCTCTTTAATGATTCCTTAAAAAAATTGTTCGATTTAATTCAACCAAATTCGAAGATGGGAGCGATTACGTTATTCGTTTTATGGAAATTCACGACAGCGTTGATGTCGGTACAACGTCGACGCGGTGTTGGTTCAATATTGGCTCAATATTGGCTCAATATTGAATAATTCACAAAATCATCTGAATACCTCAAACAATATATTCATTTGAATATTGAAACAAGCAAGTTGAGCCCATCCAACCGAAGACATTCGACCATTTCTTGATGCGTTAATGTACTTCTTCCCTTTTTCATTTCTACCAATACAATTAATAGAAATCGACTAAATAAAAAGTATTTCCTCCTAGAATATAAAAATCGTGAAAGATATTTTTCAATACGAAAAATAACTCACAATCCGTGTTTCTCCAAATGGAGTGATTTTTTTTTCTTTGAGGATAACTTTTTATTTCTCTCCATGTGAAAATAATTGATGAATAGAATGTAAATACGTACGTTGTCCAGAGCTCGTGGGATGGTGGCAATTTGACATCAGTCGATTTGTCCGGGAGTTTGTAGTACTCGTAGACATAAGGAACGGTCTGTTCATCGGGATGTCCAGCAACAGCAGTAACTTGGTGCTGCTGCTGGAGATTGAGCATCGCCGCGGTTGCTACCGACAGTGGATGCTCGCAGTATGCCCTCCAATCGCCCTCCATACCCTGCACCTGCACCTGCACGGCCGCAACCCGCTTCTGTGCCTCCTCCGAGTCCTCCTCACTCTGCTGCACTCCCTGATGCTGAGGATCCTGATCCTCCTCCGCTACTGATACCTCACGCCCTGTTACACCACCGTAATTCTGATCCACCGAGGATACAACATTTGACTCGCAATCCGATGATGAACGGCTGCGTCTTCTGCAAGTAAAATATTGTTATTTTTAAATAGTCATTTCAATAAATAAATCGATCATTGCAGTAGCATTTCTTTATTATCACTATTATTATTATTGATCATTGATTAATTATAAACGCGATATTTAGGAGCGTCCTAATTATAAGATACTCTACGGAATTTACTGGATTAATTATTATTTATTACTTGGAAAATAATTACTATCAAAGGGAAGGAAGAATAGGCCGACCAATTTCCGCGACGAGTTTTTCAGAATTATCTCTGGAACTGAAAGATAGAGCGAAATTTTCGGTAAGAGTATTTTTGTAGAACTCGATTTAATCTATGAAAAAGGTGATAACAAAAATTTCTCTATCTCCCTTAGATTTCGAGATGTTCATAGAAAAGTGGAGGCCTGCCGAATTTGAATTGATTTCATTTACCCCTTTGCTAATGATTTAATTATTAATCAGTTAATCTTCAGTTTAAAAGAGTAGAAGAATAATAAAATGGGAGTCTGGTCTGAACTTTTGGAAAATATTGTTTGTAATCTCAAGAAAGATTTGGGTATATCCAAATATATCACATGTGTGTGATTTATATTCGCGGACGAGTACAAAGCGGAACTCAATATTTCCACTTGACGAACATTATCTTCCGTTAGTGAATTCTCCGCAGGGAAGATAAATGAATGATTTCATACTCCAGACCTATGCAAACACGGAAGAAAAATATTTGCACGGCATAACGTGGTAGCTCATTATCGGTGGCTCTATCTCCCTCCATTTCTCTCGTCTCTCTCTCAATTTGAGATTTTCTATCTTTTATTTTTTTGCATTGAGTGTTACCGGGGTAGGAGAACGGTTATCCAGGTGCACGTGAGTGCGCCGAGGGAAGGTTTAGATTGATTCGACATGCATAAATTAGAGAAGAGGATAAGCCTTCGTATTCGATGTGTAACTCGTCTAGGGAGGGATTGGGGTTGCTTTATAAATTGATGATCTCGGGTGTTTGATGAATCCGTTGGGATTATTCGTTCCTCAATGCCAAATTTATTCATGATATCTTTCGTTGTTTGAGAGAATAATTTCGATAGATTCCGACGATTTATTTTGCCCCGCCCCGTTTCTATTTGTGACCATCGAAAACGATTTATATTCAAATTATCCTCTGCATCAGTCTTTATTTTTAATTGGAAAATTGAGGAGAGAAGGATTGATTTATGGCATTATAACGCATGAAATAATTAGTGAGTTTGAAAATACCGCGCACTCTTCTATCGCCAACTTCGGGCCACTCCGCGACCAATGAAACAATTCGGATAAATTTCGATACAAAACACCTTCATATGATAATATATCCCCACAAAACAATGGATTTTTTCCCCACGACTCAACAATTCTGAATTTTCATCATCTCCAAGAAACAGCCAACCATTTCATAAATGTCCTCGGCGATGTTTTTTTTTTTATTCATTAAATGATCTCCGAAGTATTTGATGTCGGGTAAAAAGTAGTTTGACGTTGCTTTTTTTTTCATGCCGGTCGATTCTTAAAGTGTCCTCCTCGCTGGGATGCTATAAATTTTGGAATAAAATGCGATCACGTACGGGGCATTATAGAAGCACGGGAAGAGAAGGATATGCGAGTGTATCTCGAAGTAGACGGCTTCTACAGAAATGCGCGTGACTCGTTTACCGATCTTCCTCTCTCCACGGTGTGCCCTCGCCATTCTTCATTCCTCTGAGTTTTCGATATACACCATCACCAACGTGATACAAACTCTCTCGCACATAGTCCCAGTCCCCATGGACTTCTTACCCAGAAAACCATTGGATATATGCTAATCCCGTGTATGCGTCTACCCCCGAGGAATAACCCAGCACAACTTCACCTGCGCATCCGGTTTTTTCCGACCGGTGTACAATCTTCATACTTCCTATGTACCAACACATCGTGGCATTTTTCGTTATAATGAGGTGCCCGGGATGTGTGAAAATGAGAGACGGGTGGCATGATTGTAATTAGTTTGCTGATTCATTGGGGTAACCCACCGCGGCATTTTTTCCACGACTTTTTACGGCATATCATGGACATATATCATCCTATTCTGACAGGATTGTCGCTTGAGTTGGAAAAAATTTTTTTTTCTCAACATTTGGATATAAAGTATTTTGTTATACGCCAATATAACATCTCCAAGTTCTAACGACTATCCATCAATTTTTTATAAAATGTTATCCATATGCATATATGAATCAAAAAATCATGTGTGGTGAAGTGTAAACAAGAAATGTACATGATCTTACCGATAGTGTAACTCCAGTATGGGTTCTATCTTTATCTTTCTATCATGAAAGCAGAGATACGTAAATGAAGTTCGCCTGAGTCGAAACGCGGAAGACTGATTTCTTATTGGTCAACTCGAATCCAAAGTCGAAATTCGAATTCGGCGCACGGAATGCGCAGTAGATCTCGTGTTATACTATACGAAAAAATTAATAAAAAAATAATATCTGCCTTTTTTTATCTGCCTTTGCGGAAGTCGCCGTTTAGAGTGAGTTCTCCATTTTGACTTTTCCATTTTCATTTTCAATTTTTTCAGTTATGATTTATGATTGAATTTAGATATTGAATATAAATAATGAAAAAAAGGAAAAATGATTGAAGGGCGCTAAAGATCCATATTATTTAAAAGAGATTTACCAAGTTTGCTAAAAAATAATAAAAAATACGTAGCTTATGTTTGCATCTAGCTGTCACTCAATCTTCTGGAGAGCAATGGTAAGCTGCGTAATTTTTATTATTTTTTTGTAAATTTTGTAGATCCCTTTTAAACAATATCACTCTTTAGCGTCCTTCAATAATTTTTTCTCTTTTTTTTCATTATTTTTTTATAACCATTCGAGTAGCTCCCGCAACACAAATTTGATCCCAAATTTTAATGTACTTCACCGATTTGTCGCCGATTTGCGAGAATTTAGAGTTGGTGAAAATAGGGTACAACTGTGGGATTCCTTGGGACAATCTAAAATGGCCGTTCCAGATAACGAAAAATGCTGGTAAAAATGGTGGAATAATAAATGGAAAATAGTGAGAAAGTGGGAAGACATGCGTGACAGGTCGCGTGGACGGGCCACAGCGTTGAATATTAAAAGGCGGTAGCGTGTGCCCGGTCTTGTGAATTTCCGTTGAGTCTCACACATCATGTGCTTTTGTAGTCGAGCCATAATTCATTGAGGTGTGGGTGAGCTCTTTATTCACGGTTTCTCCCCCATCACCCACTGAACCAAACGATCGCGTGTCGTCTCTGCATTTGGAATTGTAATGATTCCAACAGCTATTTAAGATTTTTACTGATTAAATTGTTGAGATTCCAATCTCATGAATTTACATGAAACTCATGTTTTCGGATTTAATCTAGCGTTTACACATGTATCGAGTTCACGTGCATCCGTGAAACCATTCAATTCAGGATGCCTCTTTCG